CTCTCCTTTCACCCGCCTCTGTCAAAGGGAATGACACAATTATAAAATAATACAGGTATAAGTTATATCCACAGAAGCATAGTGTTTAGTGCTGAACCAATCACATGTAGAATATTGTGGCTTCTGGTTCAAATGCCAAGTGACAGGAGGCAGGAACGGGATGGGCTGAGAGAAAGGATTTTGGACGTTGGCAAACCCTGATTTGAATCCTGACCTGACCATTCCCAGTCATCATGGAACATGTAAAAGAGGCTTATAATCATACTTATTGCCTAGCTTTGTTTCAAGGATTCAGTGAGGTAGTTCCCAGTCCTATGAGGGTGAGCAGGACCTCCTCGGAGTCACTCTACCAGGGCACCCATCGCACACCAGGCTGCATTAGCCTTGTCTTCCTCGCTCTCCAGTTCCTGTGTGTTCAGGCTGTCCTGAGCCCAGAGGTTTCTGAGAGCACTTCCCTGGAGGAGTCAGGACAGCTGTGCTGAGAGGGGCAAAGGTCCTCGGCAGCTGCTTGAGAATTGGTGGGAAGCACCCGCTTACCTTCTCCTGCATCCCTGTGAGCAGGGCCCTGAGCTTTCACTGGCCTGACTCACAGCAGGCTAGGACTGTACACACCTTATACCAGTCAAAAGCTGCCACTTTACAGGCAAGACAACTGTGGCTCAGAGAGGGGAGGCTTTCTACCTCAGAGTCACAGTCTGGGAATGACTGAGGCCAGCTGGGTGCTAACCCCTGAGCCTCACCCCTGCTCTGAATGGCCAAAGCAAAATACCATCAGCCATTCAGAGGATACTGATCCCCAAGGAAAAATTCTGGTCTGGGTATTGCTTGTTACTTTGAGTTAAAACACTAGGGGAGGAAGCTTGCCTTTCTGTGCAGACCCCTCCCGTGTGTGTGTGTGTGTGTGTGTGTGTGTGTGTGTGTGTCTGTGTTTATGTAAGAGGGGTGAAGGGAGGATCTGGTTTTCCAGATGTGACAGGCTACCCTATCCCCTTTGGCAAGTTGTCCAGCTGGTCCTCATCTGTTGCACTCCTCCTGTGACAGAGACTGGCTAGACTTGGGGGCCTGGTTCTGCTTATTGGATCTGTCATGAGCCTGTGAGAAATGGGGGGAGCAGCCTCACTTTCTTCTAAATAAACTCCTGTTTTATTTATTTATTTATTTATTTATTTATTTATTTATTTATTTATTTATTTATTAACTCTCAGTTCAACAGTTCCCAACCTCCCCAAGAGGCGTGAGGGAGGCTGTTTCATGAACTTACCCATGGAGGCTATAGCCTTGGTTTTCAAGCCACTTCCTTGATTCTGTCCTGGTGAGAACTATTGGCAAAAATCCAGATGCGGGGCCTCCCTGGTGGCACAGGAATTAAGGCTCAGCTCTATCAAGCTATCACCAGCCACTGCGGCCTGAGTTTGATTCCCAGCCAGGGAGCTAACCCACATGGCACAGCAGGCCTCTCCTGTCTTGCCCACTGCTCCCTTCAGCAATTATTTTTGTATTCAGACAATCCACCTGTTCTGCTCCTCACTCTGTCTCAGGTGAATCCTCTCATCACCTGCACCTCTGGCCGGTACCCCAGCTCTTGTATGCATGAATAAATAAAATAAATCTTAAAAAAAATAAGAGGGAAGGGCCTCCCCGGTGGCGCAGCGGTTGAGCGCTGGGTTGCGAAGCTGCCCGTGGCCTCTGCGGCACCGGTTCGATCCCCGCCTGCTCCCCAGCCACCAGAGGAGGATCCCACATGGTGCGCAGACCTCTCCTGCCGCCCGCTGCTCCCCTCAGCAGTGTACTTTGGTCCTTCTGCCTGCTCTGCTCCCCGCTCTGGCTCTGGTGAATTCTCTCACCCTCCCGCGCTTCTGACTGTACCCAGTGCATGTATAAACAAACAAACAAACAAATAAATAAATAAAACATGCCTCTATTAAAAAAAAAAAAAAAAAAAAAAAGAAGAGGGAAGAGGTGGAAACTATACCCATTTACTCTACCCAGGCAGAGTAGATGGTGGCTTCCCATCACAGGAGTTTTCAGAATCTCATCTGACCTTCATAGTTACCTATACCCATGAGGCAAGAGGGTTGGAAGAATGATCATCTCCACTTCTTACAGGAAGAAACCAAGGTCAAGAGAGTTAAAGTGACCAACCCAAGATCACACAGCTTATTGAAGTCGAGGGGCCAACCTCAGACTCCTGGGGTCTTAATCCGTGCTCTTTTCACCACCCAGGTCATCTTTAGGACAAATTAACAATAAAAAGGATGGGCATGGGGAGCAGGAAATAAGTAGATCAGACCATGAAGTGGGAACTAGGGTAGGAGTCCAGAGTGTAAGCTTTGCAAATATAAGTCCTAAGTGGAAGGGAATGATTGGTCCTCACCCCACTGGAGTCCCCCTTTCTACCAGGCTCTTCAGGGAAAACCACTTTAAGGAGGAGAAAACCACAATTACCCCTTGGGGTGGCAGAGCTCTTGAGGGACACGTCAGAGTGTTGAGGGTGAACCCATACAGCCAGAAAAAGCATTTTCAATGTCCTAATTTCTGTCTTGGAAAACTAGAATTAAGTACCTGTTGTTGTAATAATTTGCACCACAGCAAGTAACACTACATACAATCTCCATGGCTGGGAGAACCACAGAAGACTAGTAATTTTTTTTTTTAAAGATTTATTTATTTATTCATACAAGCACTGGGTACAGTCAGAAGCGCGGGAGGGTGAGAGAATTCACCAGAGCCAGAGCTGGGAGCAGAGCGGGCAGAAGGACCGAGGAGCAGCGGGCGGCAGGAGAGGTCTGCGCGCCATGCGGGACCCTCCTCAGGTGGCCGGGGAGCAGCCAGGGATCGAACCGGCGTCACAGAGACTGCGGGCAGCTTCGCAACCCAGCGCTCAACCGCTGCGCCACTGGGGAGGCCCAAGACTAGTAATTCTTAAGCGAGGAAAACTCCCACCCTCAGGGGCAAAGGCGGGTATCTGAAATCACAGGACCTGAAATTAGGACAGGTTGAGGGGTTAAATAGGTTGAGAAACTCAGTGCTCAATGCCCTTTAAGGCTCTCTGGGTTCTGCCAGTCTGTGTAAAATTCTCTTGATGATTATTGATTGTTGGAAGAGAATTTTCACTAAGATACGAAGTCGGAATTGCAAACTCATTTGAAGACGCACCCCCCACCCCCACCCGGGCTGGACACAGTAAACTTTAGATTGAATTTAAAAAAAATCTTTGTTTAGGCTACAGAATTACAACAGCCACTCACCACGGTCGAGACCCCTCTCTGCTGCCCCAGCACCTAGAGATCTAGAGCTCCGATGCAGGGTGCCCCTTGCTTTAGGGGTTGGTCTGGGAAGCTCAGCACTGGCTCTGGCCTCACCCCTCCCCTCAGTGGGGACTAGCTTTCTCCAGGTGGGTGTCCTGGTGCTCTGAGGCTTCCCTGGCTTCTTCTCGGTAACCCACAAACATGTTCTATGTGCTAACATTCCCTCCTTACCTCTGAATCTCCTCTTCCTCCTCTTTGATGCCAAGTTCAATTCAAGATGGGTCCACTTTCCTGTCTTCTCTTTCTCATCTTCCATTCTTTTTTTTTTTTTTTTAAGATTTATTTTTATTTATTTATTTTATTTATTTATACAAGCACTGGGTACAGTCAGAAGCGCGGGAGGGTGAGAGAATTCACCAGAGCCAGAGTGGGGAGCAGGGCAGGCAGAAGGACCGAAGTACACTGCTGAGGGGAGCAGCGGGCGGCAGGAGAGGTCTGCTCGCCATGTGGGACCCTCCTCTGGTGGTCGGGGAGCAGCCGGGGATCTAACCGGCGCCGCGGAGGCTGCAGGCAGCTTCGCAACCCAGCACTCAACCGCTGTGCCACCGGGGAGGCCCTCATCTTCCATTCTTCCCTTTGGCTCCCTCCCTACCTCTCTGCTAAAGCTGGGGCAGAGCCCCCTAAGTTCCATCGTTCTAGCCTGGTTGCCCTCTTGACTGCTGCCTGTGACCGACCACCCTCTTAGAAAGTCTTTTGCTCTTAACTTCTTTCTGTTGAACTTATTCATTTTTTCATTCATTTATTTGAACTTAGCATAAACTCTAGCTTTTTCAAAATGCTTAACATTCAGATTCCTCTTGATCTGTGAACTCCAGGAGGGTGAGCCAGGGCCTTCTCACAAATGCCTGGTACAGTGTCTGCCACTGAGTAGAAGTAATTTTTCTCCTTTCCTTTGTTCTTCCCATCCAGGCAGATCATCCATGCCCCGGAGCCCAAGGGCAGGCAGCAACACTGAGAGCTGCTGCTCTGGACAGATGGTTAGACCATGGCCTGGGCTCTTCTGCAGCTCTAACTCTGGGACACCCTTCCTCCTCTCTCCCTCTCTTCTGCCCCTCATATTCACCCTGGACCCTTTGACTTTACCAGTTTCTTGGCCCCACTCAAGCCGCAGGGCTGTCCAGATTCTGCTCGCCCCATTTCGGTTGAGAATGTTCTACCCCTAATTCTTTCTTCCTTCTAACCTAGAGATGGATTACACCAAAGATGAAGAATTATTCAACGAGCTTAATGGCAGACTGGACATACAGAAGAAAGGCTAAATAAATTTGAAAACAGAAGTAAAAAAAATGGTACAGAACATCTGAGATCTGTGGAATATCAGATCGTCCAACATATATTTAATTGGAATCATAACTCTGGCCTGATAAAGTGGGATTTCTTTTTTTTTTTTTTTATAGAGGCATGCTTTTATTTATTTATTTGTTTGTTTTTTGTTTATACATGCACTGGGTACAGTCAGAAGCATGGGAGGGTGGGAGAATTCACCAGAGCCAGAGCAGGGAGCAGAGCAGGCAGAAGGACCGAAGTACACTGCTGAGGGGAGCAGCGGGCGGCAGGAGAGGTCTGCGCGCCATGTGGGACCCTCCTCCGGTGGCCGGGGAGCAGCCGGGGATCGAACCGGCGCCACAGAGGCCGCGGGCAGCTTCGCAACCCAGCGCTCAACCGCTGCGCCACCGGGGAGGCCCTAAAGTGGGATTTCTTATCTTCTTGTTCTGCAGTTATCTTATTTGGATTTTTTCCCCTTTTTTGTAAGAACATCAACAAAGATGCAGATGTGGGGGAAAGGGAGGAATGTCAGGTGGATTCTGGATTGAGTATGAGCTTTAGGAGAAAATCTTGGGACTGAATTTCTCGGGTCACTTACTAACCTTGGGAAAGTCACCTACCTTCTCTGACCTTACTTTCCTCATGTGCACCTACTTTGTGAGAATTCAACACACTAATACAAGAACAGAGCCCACCAGAAACTCTGGCTATGGCAAGAGCTCAGTAAATGCTTTATTATTACAAATCACCATGGTCTCACCACCACCATCATTCATGCTCTCACCATCATTTTTCATTTATGTACAATCCCTTCTAGATGTGGTCAGTATGCATTTTTAAAAAACATTTTCACAATTGTGGCATATTGCCATATGTATTCTGCTTTCAAATTTATTCTTTAAAAAATTTTATTCTTGAATATTTAGTTTCCAAGTTGCGACAAGTCTTGTAATTGACATCATTTTAAAGGGTTATAGAGCAACCCCCGGCCCCGACTTTTTAGTGGGTTCACTTTTGTTTCCTTATCTATATTATTTAACCTGGTGTGGCAGGGGCAGGCAGGTTTTCTCAAATCATTTATTCTTCCAGATTGCATCTGCCATGGGGGGCACACAGAAAAGATCTGCATCGAGACTCTGCTGCTAACTTGCCATGGGCTCTGGGCAAGTTACTTGTCCTCCCTAGGCTCCCAAGTCCCCTTTGATAAAGAGTGATAAGCTCTTCCCCACCCACCTCACAGAGCCACAGAAGCACTGTTCAAAACAAACACATCCACCATCATTGCCACTCATGGACTAGAAACAAAGACACTCAAGTCTTAAGTCCTCTCAGAGACACAGGCTTTAAAAACTTCCTGGAAATGCCTGTAAGTCATGTTCTCTGCCAGGGTACAGAGAAGGCACTTAGAAAATTCCTACTTAGGAGCAGTATTGGGGCGGTGGGGCCCAGTGACCAAGTGGCAGGGTTCATTTCACTTATTAACACTTCTGCAATGGCCCATCTCAAACCTCAGGGCCTCCACAGAGGATTTAATTGGTACAAAATGGAAACCATTCACCTAGTCTGACATTTAGATGGGAAAGTTCCCAAGAAGTGATGGGGTGTGCCTTCCAGCACCATTCTGGATTCCCCCTGAGCTGTTTGCAAAGCAACCCTGAAAGGGTTGAAAAGTACACAGTTCCTCACGAGAGACTAAGTTTGACCTGGCATTGCATTCCAGAATATTTGGAAAAACTACCTGTCTTCCCCAATCCCTTAATTCAGGATGCTAATGTGAAGCCTGCACACCACTCTGGTGGTTGGGAGGTACAGATGACAAAGTGTAGGTGAGAGAGGCTGTATAAACAGTAACAGGTAAGGCAGGTAAAGCCCAGGAGCTCCCCCAACTCTTCCATTCACCTTGTTCCAGGGCTAAGAGCTTGGACCAGGGTCCTGCCACTGAGCTTACTTCCAGGCAAATGTCCCTGGGAGGAAACAGAGTCTTCCTGCTGCCTGTCAGGACGGCTAACCCAGGCCTGATCTCAGCTAATTCAGCAGTGTGAGATGACACCACCCCCACATCTGCTCTGCATCTCAAAGGCACCAAGAGAACTGGCTGGAGACAGAGGAATTGCTATTGATTTTCACTTGTGTGGGCTGACCTAAGAAAACCAATTCGTCAAGTGCCTGTCTGCCTACTGCTTCAGATGCTCATCCTAACCACGTGCAAATAAATTGCACTAGCATCTAGGGTGATTTGTCAAGGTCTAGCCGGGAGGGGGACCTGGCTTCCTCTGACGGACTCCAGGCCAGGCCAGCCAAGGCCTGACTGTTGATCCACTATTAATCAGCAACATTGTGGGAGTGGGGAGTTCAGGCAGCTGCTGCCATGCCAGGAGTCAGTTGGCCATGCCTGGAAGGGGAGCTGGAGAGAAGCGGCCTAAGTCCCACTCAATTCAACAGGACTTGGCAGTGACATCTCATTTCTTCTCATCTCCGGCCCTTCAATTTTGAAGGGTTTAACAGAGTGCATGTACAAGCAGGAGGCACCAAGTTCTGATACTGGCTCTGCTCTGGGCAAGTGTCCTCTTGCCAACTATGAGATGGAGAGGACACCACTTGTGGGCATCTAGAACCCTCTCATGGTCAGAGGTCAGACTGAGTATCCAACCCCTGTTCTGCCACTTCCTGGCTATGGCCTGGGCAGACATCTCAGCTCTCAGTGCCTCACCTTCCTCATCTGTACTATGGGGCTGAACATAGTACCTTCCTCCTAGGGTGGAGGTCATGGGGGACTGAATGAGGTAACAGGAAGAACCATGGCCACACCCCCTCAGCCCTTCCTTCCACAGGCCAGGACCAGAGGCTCAGAGAAGTGGGATCTCAGGGTCACACAGCAAGTCAGAACATCAGGAGGGTTAACAGGAGAGGCAATAACGAAAGGTCGATGAAAAGAGCACAGTGATCATTTTGACCTCTTCTTCCCCAGGTGGCAGCTGTCACTGAAGAATGGGGGATGGGTCACCGCACATCATGGATCATTGCTCGAGGGTCAAAAACTTTATTCGCAGGCCTCTGTTTTTGAATATACAAGGTTCCTGCTGTCCAGGGCAAAAGGGAAGTGGTATCTTGCTGCACGAGATCCGAGGGGCTTGCCTTGGGGCTCTATCCCTGCCCCTTTTGCCTGCTTGCTGGCCCCACAGGTTCCTCTGCTGTGGGGTAAGGCACTGTGTGTTCTGTAAGAAGGCGCTCACGGCTGGCTGGTGGATGAGGAGGCGGCCTTCTCAGGGGCTGCAAAGCTGAGGCTGTTGAGGGGTGGAGTAGAAACTGGGGCCCAGGCAGGGGCCAACTGGTCAGGAGACCCCAGGTAATGGTAATGCAGCTGGAGGATCTGGTGCTGCTGCCTCCCAGCTGCTGGCTCAGGCACAGAGGCCTCAGGATGGGATCATCCCTTTGCTTCTCTTTCGGTCGGCCATGGTTCTCCGGTTGTGGTTGGCTCGTGTTGCCTTATTGGCTTCCTTCTTCCTACGTTCCTGGGTTGTCTCCCGGTTCTGCCCATGGCCCCGAGGGTTGCCGGCCACTGCTGTAGAGCTGTCATGACGGTACCTAAAGGAGGAACAACGCCCAGGAGGGCCCATCAGCCAGTAGAGGCTTTGATGGGAAGAGCCCATTTCTTCCTCGAGGTCCCTGGGAGAGGACCCATAGTTTGGTCCAGGACACCTATGTATGTCCCAACTTCTGGTGGGAGGAGAAGTGGAACCTGGCAGGGATATAACCTTGGGGATCCAACCAGTCGTGTACCTGGAGTTTCTCTGAGCCTTGTCTGTGGATGGGCACCTGGCTAAGCTCTGGAGAGGACCAGCTAGTGGCCTGACCACTGACTACAACAAGGACAGGAGGATGTCTTGGGATGGGCCTCAGTTACCTCAGTAGTAGATACTTCATAGAGCTATTCATTGTGAGGACTAAGTTAATACACAAAAAACATTTAGGGTTTCTGTAAGAGCTTATTGGGTGGTTGGCTGAGCTGTCCCCAGATAGGTCTCCTCCCATTAGAAAAAGCTGCTTAAAATGCTCACCCCTTCCTGGCGAGGAAGGCCATGCGCCTGGCTTCTGCTTTCTCCCGCAGCACTGCAGGGTCCTGCACAAAATGGTCAGGCTGTGGCGGGGAGGAGAGAAAAAAAATCTAGACTTATGAGTTGCTTCATTTCCCGGAGCCGTGGTAAAGGTTGTCTTCAAGTGCCAACCACTTGAATCTTGTTGACACCTCCATGCCAGCAGTAGGGAGAGGGTCGAGCAAAAGTGTAGCCGGGCAACACCCTAGAATGGAGCTGGGCTTGCTGTGGTCCAAGGTTCCCTTTTGAAGTCCCCTTCTCTATGCCTCCCACCTCCTGCTTAAGGGGCAGGCAGCTACAGCGACCTAGGATTTCTGGAAAGGCTTCAGGCATGATGGGGCCAGTGCATTACAGTTGGGAAATGATGACAACAAATGGGGACAAAAGGAGAAAGACCAGGATGGCCAAATGAGAGGTCACATAGGGCCCTGAGAGCTAAGCCACCCCTGGAAGCTGACTGGTTCTCACTCCAGTGACACCAGTAACCTGCTGTGGGAATACCCACGCTTGAAAACTGTCTTCCATGCCATTACTCATTTCCTTTGGTGGCCTGGCCCCAGATATGTCCGAATCTGTCACTCTGGTGGGAGGGTGCGAGGGGCTCTGGGGACCTCAGGCTGCCGCTTCTCTCAATCCACTTTTAACCTTTTTATATGTTGAGGTGCTAAGATTCCACTTGAAGAAAAAGTTTAGCTGCTGAAAAATAGAATTTTCCAGATGACCTTCAAAGCCCTTGAGTTATAAGTCTTCTCTAATTTTAAGAATTGCCATCCTGGGCACAGCAGTTGAAAGCTGTTCTTTACTTGGCCCTCAGGCTCCTGGGCCTAATGAACCCTGCAGCTCCAAGGCCCTTCTCTGATCTGTCCCCTGGGCCCTCACCGGGCAGCAGAGGTGAGCTGAAAACTATAAGCTCTCCAAGCACACATATGGCCTCGAAGGGCGCAGTGAAGATGGGGCTGCCTTGAGGCCAAATACGGGAGGGGCACATTGCTCCCACTATACCCTTTGGAACTGCATCCTCCCTTCATCTGCCACCCCCACCACTGCCACCTGCCAAGAGGTACCTTGGGGGCCTCTTCATCCACCTCCTCCTCATTGTCCTCCTCCTCCTCCTGCCCTTCTCTGGGCACTTTGGTTCTCAGCACCTGAGGGATGGTGAAGGGCCTGAGGGGTCACAGAAAAAGTGAGATCAAAGATTAGATTAAACTGGGAAATTCCCGCAAGAAGGAGGGAATCCAGCTGAGCAAAAGGGCCTTCCCATGAGGGGGACTGGCTAAGGAGGCCAGGAAAACCCAAAGTGCTTTTCATGAACTAGTTTTGCTCCAGCCCTCGGACTCTTTGAGGGTCTTAGTGTCTGTTAGGGCTTAGGGGAGGCTAAGCTGGAGTGGAGGCGGGGAGTGTCCAGTCCTCTCTAGTCAGGACATTTCTGCTTTTATCTGTATTGGGGAATTTCCATAAAATTCCACTGGGGTAAGTTTTCTACAATTAAGAAGAAAAAGGTAAAACCACTGCATGAAACCAAATAAATGCTGTCCCACTCAGGGAGGGGTTGGACGACCAACCAGCCAAGGGTTGGGGGTGGAAGGAGCACTGGACTAGGAGTTAGGAGGCCTGGGTTTGGGCCCTGGTTCTGCCACTGCCTGGCTTATGTGATCAGGTCCTTGGCATTCCCATTTGTACAAACAAAAGGCTCTGGGAGAGGCCCGGGGGCCAAGAGCCGCCTGCCCCTGGAATCCTGCTCTCTGCCGCCCCACTGGAAAGCCTCACCTGCGACTGATGAGCTCATCATCCGAGTCGGCATCATTGGCGCCCACCTGGTTGCCATCGTAGGTGTCATCATACTCATCCTCATAGTCGTCACCCCGGTAAGACAGGCTCTCACCTGGCTGCAGCGGCACCTGCAAACAGCAGAAGTGTTGATGGGAGGGGCCTGGGGTCCATGGTCTCCTACCCCCAGCCTGGCCCAGCGGCTTTACACCCTACCTCCTCCACCACCACGCTGTACTGCTCATAGCGTTGCCGCTGTGCTGCCACCTCCCGCTTGTCGTTCAGCAGTTTCCGAGTGTTCGCCTCCTTCCTGACATTGAGATAGAACAGTGAGGAGAGAAGAAGGAAAACTATCAGGCTTTGAAGACTGTGGAGTATAAGGGTCCAGAGAACCCATGGACTCACCTCTCTCCCGCTCAGGCTGACACAAACTGAGACAACTGACACCCAGCACAAGGGGCGTGTGGGAGGCTGGGAGTCTCACTGCTGCAGGGGGTCCAAGTGAATGGGTCCAGCCACTTGCTCCTTTGGCATCCCGGGAGCAGCTGGTAGCCCACTTTTTGACCAAGAAATTCCTCTCTGAGGTGTCCATTCTAGAAAAATGCTGGCCATGAGCACAAAGAGGTCCCACAGGGGATTTTTTTCTTAGCATTGTTTGTACCAGTGGAAAAGGGGAAGTAATTTGTGATGCAATGACCATCACAAATGAGACAGCCAAATGCTCTGTCCCACATCTGTATTACAGAATGCTGGGCGGCAGTTCTCAAGAATGACATTGATCTGTTTGTGCTGACAGAGAAAGAATTCTAAGACTAACACCCGAGAAAAAAGCAAGCTACAGAAAAACGCACAGTATGAGCCCATCTGTACAACAAGCAGAAAGCAAACCAGACCAAGCCTCTGTTTCCTGAACACATACGCAGCTATGCATGCAAACACACTGGGGAAAGGACTAGTGAGTGCCCAGCCAAATGACAATGGTTACTCTGAGGAGGCACCTAAGGTTATTTGAATCTTTCTAAAAAACAAACATTTAAGAAAGCAAGGGGGCCTCCCTGATAGTCTAGGGGTTAAGTCTCAGCTCTATCACCCTGACAGTCCTCTGCAGTGTCTGAGCTCAATCCCCAGCCAGGGTGCTGACCCACATAGCACAGCAGACCTCTCTTGTCTCGCCTGCTGCGCCCCTCAGTAGTGTATTTCAGTCAGTCTGCCTGTTCTGCTCCCCATTCTGTCTCTGGTGAATCCTCTCACCCCCATACCCCTGGCCTACACCCCAGTCTTCCATGCAAAAATAAATAAAATCAAATCTTTTTTAAAAAAATAGCAAGGTCAAATATGTTTTTCTTACTGGGGTGCTCCAGGGGACTTCTGGATATTAAGAGGGGAAGAGAGGCCCTGGCCTCTTCCTTGCACTGCCATTTTACCACAGTTGACCCCTATTGTTACAGGGCAACCGATGTGAAATGGATTGGCCTGAGTGTGAGTCCTCACCTGGGTGCTGAAAAGGGACTTATAATAAGACTCAACTGTAGATACACACAAAAAGGTTAATAAAGGGTTAATTTACAAAAAGGGGAAAAGCAGAGAGGAAGAACCCAGGGAGGGAGGAAGAGTGGAAGAAAGGGGGGGGGGGGGGGGGAGAGAGAGATATGAATGCATCCTACCAGTTCTGCTGAACTGGGATCCCAAAAGTACGCTGAAGGCCAGCAACCCCCAAGGCACACAAGTCTGGTTATATACCAAGCCTGGCTGCTTAATTCCACCCTCAGTTCCCAACAATCCTCCCTTCGGTGGTGATGACACTATGGGATTTGTAGTCCTTGGTGTCTTGGGTCTCTTTTGTCTACGGTGGGGGTGGAGTCCATAAAACCTGTGTTTGCGGAGTTTGTTCAGGACATCCTTTCCCAACACTAACTGTTCTACATACACTTTGCTCTTTCATGTCATTGCATTGGAAGAAAAACTCTAGAAGTTCAACTCCTGCCATATTGCAGATGAGGAAACTTGGGTACTGTGGGGAGGAGAGGATGTGTTTGGGAACTCAGCAGACTGTAGCACAGTCACGGTGGGGACATCTGGCTCGTGACTTTGCAAATCCGTAGAAAAAGTTGGCTTGTCAGACACAAGATGGGCCTGTGGAATGTAGTTTCTAGCCCCGAAGGGGAAAATCAATATGAGATGCCAGGCAAGAAAATCCAGCTTAGCTGTGAAATCGGGTCTCTGGAATGTATGGGGGAGGGGTGGAAAGGAGACACAAAGTCACGCAGCTTCCATAAAAATCTTCTATTAACTGCCTTTTGTTGCAGAAAGGGGCAAGTGCATGAGCCTGTAGGGCTGTCTGCCTGGGAGCCTGGGCAGGTTAGAATTACAGCTCCCAGAGTGGAGGGTTAGGATTTGGCTTCTTGCAACAGTTTTTACTAAGGGCCTACCACACACAAGCTAAGGTACTAAGGCTGAGTTGGGGAGAAAATCAGAAAAGAGTGAGTAAGATATGGATCTGCTCTCATGGAATTCACAGTCTATGGGGGCAACAGACAGGCAAATGGCAACCAAGATGAAATGTGCTGAAGGGCGGCAAGCATGCCCTGCAACACAAAGATGAAAAGAACTCTGGCTCCTGGGATCTAGCCAGGAGTCTGGAGAAGGGGTAACAGAAGTTCTATGGTTGAGGGCTGTTCGATCTGGACCAGGAAAAATTTTAATCCACAGTAATTCTTCACATTGACCAGGAAAGGGGCCTGGGATTGATTGTAGCCCTGACCTAGCTCTCTTTACCAGGCTGAAGGCTGGAGAGATCATGAAAGGGGCCCGAGCTGGTCTTAGGGATTGCTGCCACTGGTTGGCGCATAGCCATTCACTCAACACACATTTCCTGAAGGTCTACTTCATGCCATGATCTGTACTGGGCCAAGGGAGCAAGGATGACTCAGAGGTGTCACATTCTATGCCCTTGATCCTCCTTGTACCCAATTTTGGGCAGTCAGGCAGTTTTTTTGCGCTGTGTCACTTCTGGGTATGTCGCTCCCTAGCAAGATCAGACAGAGAAGCCAGGCCTACTCTGCCCACTCCAGCCAGACCCAGTGAGAAGACACTGGTAGAAACAGTTGATCCTGTTGGCCTGAGCATCGGCATCATGACCCTATTTAGAGTCAGAAGAAAAAGAAAATCCAAGATAGAATTACCTGAGGGCCAGAACTTCAGGCAAATCTGGAAAGTAAGCAACATGGCTTTAGAGAATATGTTTGGTACAGGTTGCTTCATCAGCCTCCTGTAAGATGGCAGCAAGCCCAGGGAAGACACAGACTCCCCTGAAGTCTAGCCACCTTTCCTCTCCTCACTCAGCCTACCCTTCAAGGACCACTTGAAACTGGCCCTCAAGGGGGTATCTCCCATTTTTTAACTTCTAAATGGCCTGCAGAGGCAATAAACCCTTCCTTTCCAGGTAGGGCTAGGGGATTCAGAGAGGGAGAGCAACCCCTGTCCCCTCCCACAAAGGTCACACAGAGCAGAGCCAGGGCCAGAACCCAGGTCTCCTGACTCAAGTCTGCTCTGCTGCTTCCTGTGCTATGTGACCAGTCAAGTCCCTAATTGTTAGATCTCAGGGTAGCCGTGAAGATGAAATAAGGTGATGAGCAGAAGTAGACCTGGTACCTGCTGGTGAATCCTTTCTTTTACTGCAGGACTTGTCAGAGCTTTGAATGTGCCAATGTGTCCTGCAACTCTTCAAGAGGCAGAATACAGAGAATTTTGGCCATAGAAACTTTTTTGATGAAGAACACTTATCTTCCTAGGCACCCCATTCAGTTCAAAGGAGTCAGGCAACCCACCTTATTCACAGCTGAAACAGTGGAGGCCACTCAGCAGCCTTGAGGGAACCAGCTCTGGGAGAGGGAAGAAAGGCACCCTTGATAATGTGGCTGCTTCACAGCTTAACCAAGCCTGGACTGCCCTGCCTTGCTACTCCCTGCCATGTAGGGAGTAGATTTCTATATTACCTGAGCCACTGAGTAAATTCCAGCTGATTTAATAACACATAACATTTTAACAATTGTGATGTGCTTTGTGCTACTTAATTTCTTATGTGCTCCCTAAGGACAGGACCCATAGCCCTGAGGCCCTCAGCCCTGCCCAGATTAAGATAGGTATCCCCACTAAGATACCACACTGTTGCTGCTTATTTAATGGTCTCAGTCTTTTTCACGGTCTCTGAGTTGTCTGAGGGTGAAGCCTGGCTGTCCTGCTCACCTTGTCTCCCTGGTGTCTGGTATAGGATCTGGTGCAAGTAAATCACTTAATAAATATTTGCTGAATGAATAAATAACGAACACACGAACAGAGGCTTTACTGCTTTGCCGTCCCCAGCCCCTGGGCTACCCAGCATAATGAGTTCAGCAAACATCTGCCACCCAGGCTCTTTGTCTGGCAGCCCCTAAAAGCAGGGAGCATAGCCTTCCTCATCTGTCCTTCACCCCACATTGGGATTTGTCAAGGATCATTCTGGTCTGGAACGGAGGCCACTGATGCAAGATTACACCTCCAGCCTGGGAGCTGAGGATGTCACAACATGTGTGACTAAGCAGTTTGCAATTGCTTCCTGTCCAGCCAGCCAGATGACTTCAGAGCTGCCCTGCACCTGCTTCCCCAGCCTCGGTCAGCCAAGCTTCCAGCCCTGGATGGTCCCGGGGAGGGAGAACAGCATGGGTCCCTCGCTGAAGCAGCAACCTGCACTTCTGCCACTGGGGCTTGTGTCACAAGAACAGAACAAGTCCCCTCCCGTCTCTGAGATTTGCCATCTCCAGTACTCACTAGATTTCTGGATTCTGTGAACCAACATTTAGAGAAACTTTAGGGAGTAGCATAATGTCATCACATCTTTGTCAGTCTCTACCATGTCACACTCTACACCATGACTGCTGACTCTTGGCCCCTCTGATGGGTCTCCAAAACCAGGCCATCTTTCCAAAACACAAAATGTGCTGCTCCTCATGTTCTTGGGGCTACTGGCCCTGATGTTCACTCTGCTTGGAAAGATTTTCCTCCCCCAACACTCCTCTTTGCAGAACTGACATTTCCTCATCCTTCTACTCTTGGTTTCACCCTTATTATTTCCATTGAAGGAGCCTTCCTGTCTGGACTAAAGCCCCTACAAGAGGTTTGAGCAAGATGCAGACCTCCACCTTGCAGTACCTGCTATATTTGCAATTTTACATTGCTTGTTTGATAAATTGATTAGTGCAAACTCCACGTGGGCATGGGCTATGTCTGTTTCATTCCCATTACATCCCAGCACTTAATAAATCCAGAACCTAGAATGCCATAAGCATCGAGCAAATATTTGTTGAACTAACGAATAAATTATGAATGGAGTTCTCAATGCCAAAAACGTAGGAAGGAGATAAACTGAAAATAAGTAGAAAAGTCTTTAAATGTAATATATTCACCTCCTGAAAAACTTGCTCAGTACAGGTCTTTAATTTTCTCATTTTTCTCACAAACTAGAAAAAAGCAGGTCTAGGGGGCCTCCCTGGTGACGCAAGGGGTTAAGCACCACACTATGAAGCAATCCGTAGCCTCTGCAGCACAAGTTCGATCCCAGGCAGGCCACGGATTAAACCATATGGCGCAGCAGACCTTTCCTGTCTCTCCTGCTGCTCCCCTCGCAGTGTATTTCAATTAGTCTGCCTGTTCTGCTCCCTACTCTGTCTCTGGTGAATCCTCTCACCACCCTATCCCCGCATCTCTGGCCAGTACCCCAGCTCTTGTATACATAAATAAATAAATCTTAAAAAAAAAAAAAAAGCAGGTCGAGGAACAGCTCTGGGAAGCACTGCCCTGTATTACTATTCAGCGATTCAATGGTCAACACCTCAAAGGATATGAGAAGGCAAGAGAGGGACAGATTCGGCCCTGGTGACCTTTTCCTATCAACAAGAGGACTCACTGGAAACTAACCTGTGTGTAAGTGAAGCTAAATCATAAGAGAAGCTGCCTCATCTGCTGGGAGCTACTGGGACTGTTCTAAAACACACAGGCCAGTTCTGTAAGATGAGGCCCTTAGTGTCTCTCAATTCCTCTCTGGACTTACAGAATTGGGGGTTCCTGGAACCTTGCAGCCAGCCCACTGTACTCACCTCCTGCCCTTGTGTACCCGGCTCAGGTCCACTGAGTCCCTGCTGAACACATCAAACTCATCATTCTGGAAGATGTTATGACGAGATGTCAGCAGAGGTGTTGGGTCTGGTTTCACCTGTCTAGAGGGAGGCAAGGAAATCAATTTCAGGGGGCTTCATCAGCTGACACCTACCTGTGCCTTACTTTCTCCTTCATTTATAGCCTTCAGATTCTCCACTCCCCTTTGACAGCCACACCTGGGACACAATTTAAAAATACTGCCTCTACCTGGGCCCTGCCAGTATGCAGTCACATTCCAAACAAAGCAACCCCCCTGGTTCCACATGCCACTCACACGGGCTCTTTTTCTGTTTCATACAAGTTCCTCCTCTCATTTAATATCACAACAGTCCTATAAGGTAGGTGGTCATAGGTTAATCAATCTTTTTGGCCTTATTATTCTCATCTGTAAAATGGGCACAGAGAGGCTGAGCAATTTGTCCAAAAGGGACAGAGCTAACTTCATTCACTCATTCAATAAATATCATTTATTCATTGATATTTGTGAATATATATCCTACATTCATTTCTGTAGTGGGCCAAACTCAGAAAGGGTAGGAGTGAAGGAAGTAAGATGCTGTGGTCATTCTCCCTCAGGAAGGTGGCAATGGCAGGGCAGGCCAGCAACTCTGGAGCTCTGAGGGGCTCTGCAACCCCTTTGTCACATCCCGTGTCTCTCTCTAAGTGGTCTCCCACAAGGTATAGCAAGGATGTCTAGTTAAGCACCCTCTCTGCCCTGCAGGGGGCATGTGAGAACCTCCTAAGGGACCTAAGGTTACCATGTCCTCTCAAAGAGGACAGTAGTTTAAATGGTTGGGAAACACTGCTTTGGGGAAGGGAAAGCAAGCTGAGTCCTGGGACATAAGGGAAAGAAGAGTGGGAAGCAAAAGAGCTAGAAGGGCCTCTGGCAAGGGCCCCCGGCAAGGGGCCCCAAAGCAGTGCCCTCAAGCAGGCTGGACGCAGCGAGCCTCCTCCCACCTGTCTCTCCCACCTGTCTAGGCTGTGGTCCAGCTGGCTGAGGGCAGGGGCCAGCCGCTCCTCCAGGATGTTGTTGATCACCTGCTCCGGGTCATAGCTGTAGTGTTCCAGGCAGGCCAGGATGAAACCCTCACCAAGGTCTGGCAGCAGGTCCTTCACTTGGGAGATGAGGGAGTCCAGCTCCACGCCACATACAGGGGGGCCCAGGGCAGCAGCCGCCCCCAGGCACTGTGAGGAGAGCGGCATGAAGGAGGGGAAGGCTGGGCCAAGCAAGTGATAGGTCAACAGGCTCCAAACAGCTCTGGACTTAGTCCCAGCCCTGCCCCTCCTTGCCAAGGCACCTGGCCAAGTGACTCAAGTTTCTCTTGGAGCCTCCATTTCCTCACCTCTGATAAAGGGGCCCTGTGACTAAATGGCTGAGCTACTTCTGGCTGTGTGACTTTGGGCAGGGCACTTCCCCTCTCTGAACTTCAGTTTCCTCCTTTAAAAAAATGGGCAGTCGTGGGGCCTACAATCAGGCAGTTTTCCAGCTCTAACAGGCTCATGGCTGAGGCTGGTAGGAAACAGCAACCACCAGATCTGGCCTGTGTAGAAATTAATTATATCTTTTCACATAATTTATTCAAGGGGAATTCAGTTTATATATTGCTCAATGTGACTTAATCTTGTTAGGCCTTTCATGTACGGAAAAACACAAGTCAAAAAGTCAATAAAAACCCTCTATGAGTCAAATAAGAAGCCAAATGGGAAAGGGGGTAGAAAAGGGGGAGGAGATTTTTATTCTCCAAGGCCCTCTGGCTTCAGAGTGCTCCACACAGTGGATCTGGAAATCCCACCCACCTCTGGGAGGTGGGGCAGTGACTATCATCACCTATAGATAAGGAACCAAGGCTCAATGTGATGGTTGTGCTGAAGGCCACACAGCTGGCAAGAGGCAGAAGCTGCCAGACTCCAGAGACTGTGTGCTCTTAGTCACTATCATGCTGCTCTCAACAAGCAGGGAAGAGTCCTGGGCTCAGTGATCAATCAGTTCAGCCACAGACGCAGCGAGTTCTGAAAAAGCCTTGAGGGAAAGCTCTAGATCAGAGGTTTCCAAACTTGTTCACTGGAGGGGCTTCTAGGGAGCCAAGCAGTGAAACTAGGCATTGTTCCCCGCCACAAAAAAAGCAGCGCCACTGTAATCTTTCAGAGGAGTGTGCCAAGAAGGATTTCCATGAAAAAGGCATCATCACTTCATTTTATAAAAGGGAAACTGAGGCTTTGCCAACTAAAGTGACTTACTCTTTCCTCACATCCAGTTTAGTGTACCTCAGCTGCAAAAGGCACCTTGAAGCTGTCAATTCCAGAAGAAACCTTGCTCCGTGAGTATAGAAACTAAGAAGGGACGTTTCCTGCTATCCCAAGCTCTGAGATGGGCCAGAAGGGGTGGGGGAAGCAGGGAAAGTGCCACTCCAGACACACACCTCCTCTTCCTCTGAGTTCTCTGGATGTGATGATATTCCACGGACTGGCTCTGCTGTCACCATGATCCCATTAGGGTCCTCGGCAGTAGCGGGTGGGTCTTTACCAACAGTGGCCTTCTGTCGGTCTACCCCTTCCCACGCACTTTCGACTGCCTGTAAGATGTAGGCAGTTCGCGTCTCGTCCCTATGAGGACATGTTAAGGTGTCTCTCTCTCTCAGGGGCCACAGCCCTGTCTGCCTCCCCAGCTCTGAGGAAGTATAATTTCTCAATCCCTTCCCAGCATCTGACACAGGGTTTTTGCCAGGGGCCATTGGGGCTACACCCAGGGGCTGTCATAGGCACCTGGGCAGACCACAGCCACACTGGCCACTACTCAGTAGAAAGCAGCTCTGGGTTAACACAGGGCCAGGGGCTGGTATCAGAGTGTCCTGGGACATGTTATTTGGAGAAGCCAGCAGCTCCTCCTCTATAACGACCACTGGAAAGAGGGTCTATTGAGAGCGTTGTCACTGGGCTTCCTGTCCAACCAGCTGAAGGCCTCCTGCAAGGGCTGGGGGCCCACAAGTTGTTACTAAGGCAGGACTCAGCAACCTGTCCCAATCATTAAAATGGCCCCTGGCCCTCTTCCCTTTCGACCATCGTGGACACTGCCAAGTTAGATATCTGGGAGTTACCCTAGACTCTCTCATTCCACTTCTAATCCAAACCCCACTGGCCATGCCTGGATGCCAGCAAAAGCATCCTCATGGGCTCCCAGGCCTCACAAAGGCCCCAGGTAACTCCATTCCCCAAACTGGCCCAGAGCTTTTCCAAAGTATAAACCACCTCATCATCCCCTGCTTCATACTCTCATGGCTACCCAATCCTTGCAGGGCAGAGCCCAAACTTCTTAGTGAGCATCACCCAGGGCCAAGCAAGTCTGCTTGCCCCCAGTTCATCTGTCACATCCTAATCCCTCTTCCACTAGATTCCTTCCTCTGAGCCCCACCTTGTGACTAACACATACGCTATGCACCCCTCAGATGGGCCCACTCTCTGTCCTCCGTCCACAGGGACACTTAGCTCAGGGCTTGGCCAGCTCCTATTCCTTCTGCTGTTTTTAGCTTGGCCATCACTTCTGTCTAACACCCCTGCCCCAAGTTCTGCTGCATTAGGCTTGCCTGTTTACTTGTGAGCCTCCCCTCCTGCAGTGAGGTCCATGATGGCAGGGCTGAACCATTCTTGGTCACACAGGCCCAGGTGCTCAATGAGAGTCTAGAGAAAGCAGGACTGTACCTCTTTTGCCTCAAGGATCAGAGTAGTCATCTCCTCTAGACTCGGGCTGGGGCCTTGGCAGGCCTCTAGGAAAAGCTGGCTGACCCATGTGTCCTGGGGCTAAACCTTCATTCTAGGTCCCAGAAGCCCATCTCCAACCTGGTGAAGCCAGGCCCCATCCCAGAAGCGGCGGTGGAAGGATACAAGACTGAAGAGGCCTGCTGCAGTAAGCTGACATCATCAGCCACAGGGAAGAGGGCATCATAGTCCCGGAGGAACCTGCAGGACAGAGCGCAGATGAGAGACAGGGCTGACTCTCTCCATGTGTCTGCGGCCCATGGTGAGCATAGAACAGCAGCTCCACCTAGTACGTGGGGCCTCACAGGGACAGGTGGGAGAGTCTCAGGCCTATTCCACTGCTGGTTGCAGCTTAGCTATACTCACCTTCTCTCCTGCAGCAAGGAGCTGAAGATCTGAAGGAACTCTTCGATGAAGCCCTGAATGTTGTCACAGCTGGAACAAAACACCAGGAAATGAATCCCCTCAACGCAGATGACCCCTTTCCCCATCCCTCTGCAAGGCCTGTGGCCAAATGGAGGAAAGACATTTTTTGAGGTTTCCCATCTCATTTCAGCCACCCTGGAGCAAATGAGGGGGCAGATTAAGTGAGGGAAGTACCCCTGCTGGACTTGGGTGGCTCCCATGGGCTTACCTGCTTTCAAGGACAGGGAGAAGGCAGATCTGGTTCATGAGAATGTGAAAAATCTCCAATAGTTTCTTCCTGGAATGGGACAGCCTTTGCCAGAGGTCACCTAACAACCTTTGAAGAGCAGAGGGAAAAAGCAAAGAGATTTGGAGACAAAAAGGCACCAAGGGCAATTATTCTCAGCAGCTATAGGTGCCCCTCCCCAGGGCTGAGCAGGGTTCACAGTTTACTGTAGATAGTAGGCCAAAAGTAGGCAAAAGGCTACAGGCCCTGAGTGCCTGGCTGGTTCCAGGATTCCTTCTCAGTTCAAACAGTGAGTTTGGAATCAGTGGGCTGGTTAATAAGAGCTTGGAGCAAGAGCTGAAGGGGAATGGTTTAGATGTCTCAGAAGACTGCTGGATAGGAACACACAAGCCAGAAGCTGCATGGTCCTTGGTCCTGCCCCCTTGTCTTACAGCCGTGGATATTGAAGCCCTGGGAAGGCAGGGCTGGTGCTCAGGTCTCTCTCCCCTAAACTAGCATTCTTTTTTTTTTTTTTTAGAGAGGCATGTTTTTCTTTCTTTCTTTCTTTCTTTCTTTATTTGTTTTGTTTTTGTTTATACATGCACTGGGTACAGTCAGAAGCGCGGGAGGGTGAGAGAATTCACCAGAGCCAGAGCGGGGAGCAGAGCATAAACTAGCATTCTTAGTTTCGTCCCTTCCTTACTTGCTATCTTCAAGTCTCCTCTTCTTAATTGCAGACTCCAGTTCAGGAATTGCTATTTCATAAAAGGAGGCTATTCTGTGGAGGCACACATGGGTAAAAAGGTTGCATTAGTTCATAAATAGCACACTTTGTTAGAAAATCAAAGCAAACCCAAGAATGCAAGAAGGCCCCTTTCTTGTTCCCAAGTTGTCACCATAAATTCATTGGAACCATCCTGGCTCTTTCCTGAGTTCACCCAGATTGACCTGCCAGGACTCCCAGGAAGAGCTTCTAGTCTCATGATCTATGGTTGTGTTCCCCATTCAGATAGGAAACCAAGGCCCAGCTAGGCCTAATGTAGCGACATGAGGACCACTCAGGAGTCACTAAGATTTGAGAAACAACAAGGTCACTTTTTTTTTTGCTCAAACACTTTTAGCAGCAGACTATCTACTACGACATTAAGTTATAGTGCCTCTCTTTCTGGTACAGCCATACTTGGCACTGCGTAGCCAACCTTGCTTCTTACCTTGGCAACCTTACACCAACCCTTTCCCAACTCAAATTCAAACTCTCCATCCTTGTCACACACTTCCTGATCATGCTCAGCCATATGATTTACTCCTTCCCAAAATGAAATGCACAGCTCAGAGTATGTTGCCCTTACAATTTAAAGTGCAGCTGCCGGGGGCCTCCCCGGTGGCGCAGCGGTTTCGCAATGGGTTGCAAAGCTGCCCACAGCCTCTGCAGCACCGGTTCCATCCCCGGCTGCTCCCCGGCCACCGGGCAAGGGTCCCACATGCCACGCAGACCTCTCCTGCTGCCTGCTGCTCCCCTCAGCAGTGTACTTCGGTCCTTCTGCCTGTTCTGCTCCCTGCTCTGGCTCGATGAATTCTCTCACCCTCCTGTGCTTCTGACTGTACCCAGTGCTTGCATAAATAAATAAATAAATCTTTTAAAAAATTTTAAAAAATAGGGCCTCCCCGGTGGCGCAGCGGCTGAGCGCTGGGTTGCGAAGCTGCCCGCGGCCTCTACGGCACCGGTTTGATCTCCGGCTGCTCCCCGGCCACCGGGCGAGGGTCCCACATGGCGCGCAGACCTCTCCTGCCGCCCACTGCTCCCCTCAGCAGTGTACTTGGGTCCTTCTGCCTGCTCTGCTCCCCGCTCTGGCTCTGGTGAATTCTCTCACCCTCCCGCGCTTCTGACTGTACCCAGTGCATGTATAAACAAAACAAACAAACAAATAAATAAAAACATGCCTCTATAAAAAAATAAATAAATAAAAAATTAAAAAAAAAATAAAATAAAATACAGCTGCCTCTTGTTCTGTGGCCTCATTCTTCCTGTGAACATATTAAGCTTCCAAAAGCCAGAAATGCAGCTTAAGTGCCTAGAATGGTGCTATATTTGTAGTAAGTGCACTGTAAACACATGCCTGTCATTTGTTTGCTTCTGGTCACATCTATCCTTGTGCAGTGCTATCCACAGCAGAGGGTAATTAGGCCAAAAGAACTAGACCTTCCTAAGCCCGTTGTGTAGCACCCAGAAGACAGGGCAGTCTAGTCTAGACAGATTCAGGTGTTGCCAAGAAACACTGCTGGTGGGAGGGTGAATTGGAATGGAGGGTGATTTGGCAAGATGTATGAAAATTAAAAATGCATATACCATCTGTTCCTGAAATTCTACTTCTAGGAATTTATTCCTCAGATATACTTTTTTTAAAAAAAATTTATTTATTTATGCATACATAAATGCACTGGGGTATAGGCCAGAGCTGCGGAGGGTAAGATGATTCACCAGAGACAGAGTAGGAAGCAGAACAGGCAGACTGACTGAAATACACTGCTAAGGGGATCAGTGGGAGAGTCAGGAGAGGTCTGCTGCGCCATGTGGGTCACCTCCCTGGCCGGGGATCAAACTCGTGCTACAGTGGTTGTAGACTGCTTCACAGTGCTGTGACTTAACCACTTGCGCCCCCATGGAGGTCCCTGTTCCTCAGATATACTTAAAAAATGATGTGAGTGTAAAGTTATTCTTTGAAGCATTTTTTGGTAATAGCAAACAACTAAAAAACACCTAAAGGTTCACTTATGGACCTTATGAAATCTACCCAGTCATAATAAACACTGAAGATTATCTATGCACTGATAATACATTAAATTTTAAAGGAAAATACAGTGTATATGTATGTATATATATATATATATATATAAAATGCTCATTGCTCATAATATGCCAGATTTAAATTTTAAAAAGGGGGCAGGCAGGCAATAAAAAAATATGCGCATTAGCTTACACAAGCATATACATGTGTATAGGCACATTGCTGGAAAATTCCACAAAAAACCTAATGGTGTGTGAGGAACAGAATGGGGGAAGGGGTAAAGGGAGACTTTTCACTGTATATTTTATACTTTCTGAGTTCTGAACCATGTGAATATATTATTCATTCATGAATTAAAGGACAGAGAAAGAGAAGGAAGGAGGAAGAAGGTTGTTATGAGAGGGATTAGCTGAAGATTGGTTTGGTGACTGTAACCCCTTGCAGAGAGACCTCAGGGACCAGGTTGCTGCATCTACTCAGTGGGCGGTCCTGGCCTCCAGCACAGTTTGAACAGGTTGGCCCAGCCCCAGTCTACTCGTGGGTCACAGGCAGTGTCACTTACAGTCAAAAGTGTTTTCTTTCTTTCATCCTCACCCTGAGATGGGTGGAATGCTCTCCTGTCTGACTATCCCTTGCAGGAGTCAGTTGTTCCAAAAGTTCCCTCTATGTCTAAAGACTTTTTCAAAAGCAACCTGTGCCACATTTGGGAAGATGCTTTAACAAAATGGAAAAAATGGCTATGGTAAGTGCAAATAAGCAGATACAAAAGTCTAAGAACAGCATGATCTCTCTTGGTGATTTTAATTTCCTACCCCTTGGTATTTTCAAAATTTCCTGGAAGCATCTGCCAGAGAAAAGATGGCTTTTATAAAAAGTGGACAGCTATAGTCCAAACCTAACCTTTCTTCTGGGGGAAATGCTGCTCAATGCTTTATTCTAACATTCTCTGATAGGCTGATGAACCCTCGTGTCTGACTTTCATGAGCTGAGGAGACCCAGGAGGGGTCAGAGCACCAGCTGCCATCTCTGGCACACGTCAACACTAGATAAATGTTTTGTTGAATGGGCAAGTAAATGACCAAATGGACAGACGGGTGGGCGGACCAAGTTGGGCAATCCCCAGAAGCTCCTGTGAATGCTGGAGACACCTGGCAAGAACAACAGCCAGAGGTCACTGAGAACTGGCTGGCCCCGGCTGTTGCCAGGCAACACGCAGGCTACCAGCTCACAACCTCGCACCCCCTTCTTACTGCAGAAGAGACAGATGCTCATGACACTAAATGGGCAAAGAGGTATCCCTTGCTGCCCCACATCCTCCTCTACATCTTTCTTTGTCCCAGCAGGACCTTTTTTGGATAAAAGCCTCCAGTGGCTCCTGCTGCCTATTGAATAAAGGCCAACTCCCTGCCAGCACATTCAGCACGCCTCAGTCTGACTACTACTGATTTCTTGCTGTTATTGGCCCCTTTTCCTGCTGCCCTGGTCTCCCCAGAACATCCCCTGGTATACACACCTTCACGTTGCCTACCTGGAATGTCTTTCCAACACTACAACCTTTCTCTGGCTGGCAAGGTCCTGTTCATTCTTCCAGACATGGTTTAAAGGTCACCATGAACCCTTCACCAGACCGAATTTGTTCCCCTCCCCTGGTTCCCAGAGTGCTTCATAATATGGCCACCACAGTTGGCCTCACAACAACAGTGAGCACATCTGCTTGTTTCCTGGCATGTGCTCTCCCCTCTACTAGATGGTAAAGTCCTCAGGCCACTTTTTATCTACTACTCTATTGTGCCTGTCCATGATAAGGGCTGTGAAACAAAACAGAGCTAATTTGGGCCTCCCTAGTGGGGCAAGGGGTTAAGTCTCAGCACTATCAAGCTATCTCCAGCCACTGCAATAAGTTCGATCCCTGGCCAGAGAGCTAACCCACCTGGTGCAGTAGACCTCTTCTGGCTCACCCATTGCTCCCCCCAGCAGTGTATTTCAGTACATCTGCTTATTCTGCTCCCCACTCTGTCTCTGGTAAATTCTCTCACCCCCATACCTCTGGCCTATACCCCAATCCTTGTATGCATAAATAAATAAAAATAAATCTTTTTTTAAATATAGAGCTGATTTAAAACTGCCCTATTCTTATTAGTTGGATTTTTGTCCCTCTACTCGGTTCTTAGTAGAAAATGGGAATGTTTCTCCACACAGGCAGGAGTGCTATTAATGTTCTTCACTGTGACATCCCCACGGCGGAAGAGGGCCCAGCACAATCTAAGCACCCAGTACATATTTGTTGAATGAGTAGAACCTTTACTTCGACAGTCAGAACTACTGCTGTACCTGTAACAGAAGTCGTGTTTCTGGAAGGTTTGGCAAGCCAAAGGGAATATGTCCAGAAAGGCCCACAGTGTAGTGCACGTATCACAAAGGTAGAGAACAATGTCTTTTAATTCCTGTTGCCAAAAGAAAACACTGCATTATTCTCCTCTGTCCCCATATACAGTTTTGTGAAGGGTCTGAGGCAAAGTTGGCAAAGTTGGGGAGGGGGCAATAGGCAGCTGCCTCATGGGAGAAGAGAACAGTGATATCCTGAGCAAAGCCTGCCTGAGCCATCTCTACAAGCAGGATCTGGGCACAGCACTCCGTCTAGCTGTCTACCTACGTTTCAGGCCTTGCTACTGTAGCCCCAATGGGTGTAGACCCCACAATCTCTAGGGTTACTGCTAGCTCCAGGATAATAGGATTCTCTCTTTCAAGATGAAGGAAACTAATTGAGTCTGAAGACAATACCCATGGTCCTGCACGGGAAGTACATCCCAGTGAGGACAAGAATATTAAGCCCACACTTTTCTCAGGTTTCTTACACTCTGAAAAGGGTGTATGGAACACGGAGTGCCTTCTGATGCAATTTCCTGATTCTCATGCCAACTCTAAAAAGTAGACGGGGCAGCTGTAGGATGTCCATTTTACTGATAAGGAAAGTAACTTTACCCTTAATAAGTTAAAAGCGCGTTAAAAACATGTTCCCAAAGTACTTAAAAACATGTTCCCAAAACATGTGCTCCTTTCTGACACACTTTAATGTCTGTTTTCCCAGGAGACTGCAAGCTCTAGGAGGACCACTCACAGCTGCCACTTTCCTGTTGTTTCTTCAGTGCTTCTAAGCACAAGGCCCCACATATGTCCAGACTCCTTAAATACTTACCTTCGTCTGTCACCTCCGTAGATTGTAAGTTCCACGGAACATGCATTCCCTGTCTGTTTTCGCTTACTGATTTACCCACCAGCACCCAGCCCGGGCCTGACATTGTACAAATTGCTAAACCAATGACTGTTTCAATGAATCTGCTGAGCTGAATGAAATGAAGACTCAACCCCCCCATTATCTGGATACTAATTCCCCGTTCTTTCCACTATTCCATAAACAAAGTTCCCACAGGAGAATGAAAGCCTGCTGAAATAGTCTAAACCTGTGTGACGGGGATAGTTGCTTACTCAGGTAGGGAAAGGGGCTGTGAGTAAAGAAGCAGCTGCTGGGTCTGCTGCTAGCCAGAAAGAGGCAGGGGTAAAGGGCATCCTCACCAGGAGAGGCATGTAGCTGGGAGTCAATCGGCCTCTTTCCTCAAGCTTCTGGGGTGTGGTGCTGGCCCCATCCCCTTGCAAACCACATTGCTGGAGGATATTGCTGAAGACCTGTGAAACACAAAAGGTGACTTTCTCACATCCTATTAAACAATGATCCCTGTCCTGTAGCCAGAATGAGTGATCTGAAAACTCCTTGGAATCTCTGAGATACAGACCAGTATACCTAGGACACAAGTTGAGACAATGACCTTCTCAGAGAACAGGTTCAGAGCAGAAATTGTAAAATGGGCATGATGGGGGTACCCTTCTGACAGTATTTTGGTGAGGATTAAAACAGCAAAATGTACTCTGTAAAGCTCTAAGAATCCTGCAGAGTTTATCTCACTGGATAAGCCAGGCAAGTGTATGATAATGAGTATTTAAGATACACACTCAGTAATCCCCTGGAGAGCCCCTGGAGATGGCAATTTATGGGAACTATATAGAAATAATAGCCAAATTAACAGTGAAGGAAAAATAGAGTCCATCATAAAACCATGTGCTTCTAAGAATGATAGCGTGTAACTATTCTAAATCTTACCCGGAACAGTGGCTCTCTCATTACTAGGATTATGAGAGAATAATTATCTTCCTCTTTGGTTTTTTTTTATATTATCCAAATTTTTTATAATGAACATTATTTTGTAAAATGGTTTTCTAAAACTTCAAAGCCTTTATTTGAGATATATAGATCTATCTCTAAAGGCCTGTGGCTGCCAGCAAACAACCCAAAATAAAATCAAGCTCCTTTTGGATGAGAGCTGGACAGTCCTTCGATTCCAGTTCTGTTCAAGAGGGAAAGGGTGATTTTGAAGGGGTGTGGAGCTGGGTCTAGAGGGTGTGGAGAATAAATATTTCTCCCAGAGTCACCCTCCCCTGGACAGGACTGAGAGCTGGTACCTGAAGGATGGTAGGCATGGTTTCATTCAAGTCATTATAGTAGCTTGGCTGCTGGATAAAGATGTTTCCTGAAAAGAGAAGAGAAAGGTAGGAATTGGGAAATGAGCGTGGGGGTGGAGAGGACGCTTCATAAATGGCTGCCAGCAGGTTGTGACCTTTCTCCCCTTTTGGAAGCCTGTCTGCACTAGGGCAGTCCTGGCGCAGGCCCTGCTGGCAGGGAGCTTTGATCAAGCCTAGAAACTTCCCCAGAGTCGGAGAAGGACTAGCTCAGCACAATTTAACCTTTTAAGTACTTCTGCCTAATGAATTATGGAAAAGACCTGCCCTTGTCAAACCAACTTGCTCTTGATGTCCCCAAGTAGTGTCCACACTTGGGCACTGTGCCTTGTATGAGAGCACTGACTTTGGAAGTTGGAGTCCGTCATCCAGGAAAATGAGGAGATATGATCTCTTTGCTCAAGAAAGTCGGATGCTACAAGCCAGGGTTCTTGCCAGGCCATGCCTCCAATAATATGAAAAGACTCTAGGGAGCAACTTCTTTAGAAATTCTCTTACTCTCTGCTTTTGAATATGCTAACTATCCTACTCCAAGGTGAGAAGCCAGAGAAGGACCTGGAGATAGATTTACCATACATTTGCAGCTGCTCCTATAAAATGAAGCTCCTCCTCTCCAAGTGTTTAATATCCCCTAACTGCTGCTGCTGTGAGTGTGTGGGTTAGAGCATATGGTAACTGGAACAGAAACCAAGTGTTCTGGCTGCCCAAGTGGCAAGGGAGGGAGAGGAGGAGAAACATGGTTAGCTGGGGGACCTGATGGTATTATATGCCAGCACCCTTAAGAAGAGGCACAGTGGTCCTTGCACCTAAAGCAAGCCGATTGTCAGGATGTTCTGAATTCTTTGGCAAGCCCATCCTTGATTTCCTTAAAATCTTTTTGGCCTTCACCCCATCCTCTAGGATTTGAAAATGAATGTGATCAAAGCCAGATGGAGCTCGGTGAGTAAGCAAGTCACTTGGTAGCTGGACTTTCCATAAACACTTTCCTAGATGCCATTTGGTTCTTGAGTCCAGAAGCTGAGTTTTACCAGCATCTAAGATTGCTCAGTGTCTCTCACCTGCAGGTAGCTGCTGACTCCTCAGCCTATGAAGGAACTCCCTGGCCATCTGTGCCCACCTCCTAATCTTGACGGGCAAGGAGTACCTGAGTTGTCTCCCCACCAACCTCTGCTGTTTTTTATAAAGCCCTCCTATCCTAAGTATCTTCAAGGTCAAATCTGAACTTGCCCATAGCACAAAGAGCCCTGACAAATGAGATACGGCCCCAGTATCTCTGGTCACCTTATCACCATTCCCGGCGTTGCATCTCTCCCTCGCACCATTTTCAACCTCAAAGAACAAGCCCTGCCCCCACCTCCTGCCTGCAGTGACCTCACAGAGCTAGGCCCACCATAAGGCAGGTTTCACCTTCTCTAGGCACTGCCTCCTAACCCAGGCATCAGGAGCAGGTCGCCTCCCCAGAGACCTCAGGTTAGCCTCACCAAACCCGACCAGCTGGCAAGGGGGAAAGCACTCTCACAATTCTTCCAATGTATACTCTGGAGTAACAGGAATGTTTTACAAGCATCCAAAAGAGGTCACAATTCAAAATCTACCCTTGGGGTCTTCTGAGTCCCTTTCCTCTCTATTTTATTCCAGTGACAGTGAAGTGAAAACATGACTTTCAATCTCTTAAAGAAGTAATTAAAAGGTAAGGGACAGCAATGGCATGCTTTGAAATGTCCCTTCTCTGACTAGAGCAATTCAGAAACCCAGGAAGAATAGAAGGTATTGACAAACAGATCGGTGCAAACCTCAATAAGGCCAAGGCCCAATAAACTCCTGCTTTGGCAAAGCAGCTCCAAGAGACACTAACTAAAAGGTCCTACTTTCAAAATTACACTTGATGATTCTCAACACCAGTCCTGAGATTTAAAAGGGGGAAGGGGCAGAAAGGGACAGGGTAAGGCTCCTGTGCAGAGGACAATCAGCCAATTTTCTTGTTCCCTTCTTCTTTCCCTTGTCGACCCTTTTACAGCTGATCTGCTTTGCTCAAGAGCTTCTGTGGTAGAGAAAGTGGAGGTTTCCCCTTGCTGTGCCTTTTGCTCAAGGGTGAGAAAGAGAGCTGTTGTGTGTGGTGGTGGACGGGAGGGGAGTGTGTGTGTGTTTGTTAGGGATATATAAAGAAGGGGCCTGTAGACACACACACACACATACACACATACATGTACACGCACAATAAAGGAACTATTGATGGCTGACACTGCACTCTTCCAATTAGCCAACTTTTGAGAGTAAAACAAAACAAAACAAAAACAAGGGCTCTCCTTAATAAGCCAATTTAGGGTTTAATCAGGGGATCAGAACATTCTAAAACACCTCAAAATTTATAAGGGGTACATTTTTCTGGTGATAGTTTTCACCTGACTCTCAAAAGAGATTTCTCACTCCACCCTTACTCAGTCATCGAGAACTGTGGCCAGATATCATCACTCCCGGTATCCATACAGACACCTTCCACCCAACAGATCTAACACTTACCTTGCTTATACTCACAACCTACTCCCTGTCCTCCTGAAGGTCGCTTTCCTGCAACCAACACCAGTTTTTCCAGAATCATTAAGACTTCTCTCTCCAGCTGACCTCACTAAGCCCTGATTTATTCTACTTCCTGAATGTCCTTTCCATCCCACCAACTCAACCAGACTCTCCCTTGAAACCTACACTAAAGTGCTAGCCTCCTGCATGGTCTCTTGTCCCACCATGCCCACCCACATGTCACCAGATTAACTTTATTACCAGATGGCTCCTCACCCTGCTCTGGGCTCCCAGAGCTCCCACGGTCTCATTACAGCAAGAGCTCACACTTACCAAGTGCCTGTAAGGTGCCAGGCACCATGCCAAGTACTCGCCTCACACCATCTCATATTTAACCCCCACAACCACAGGTTGGTATGTTATTAGTTTTCCCAGTCTTCAGATAAGAAAACTGAAAGTAGAGTGGCTAACTGACTTGATCAAAATGACATAAACAGAAATAGAGCTGGGGTATGAATCAGAGAGTTCAACTCCAGAGGCTGCCTTTTTAGCCACCAAACAATGCCACTCCCAAGAACAAAAACCTGGCATGAAGCCCTCCTGATCTGGCTTCAGCTTCCCCTTCCTGTCTCCTGGTGCTGCCTCCTGGAATGCTCTTTTTGAACCAAACTGAATGAATATGTAATTATAGGTGCCTGCTTGTGCTCACTCACTCATAATCTTAGTCTACAGTAAAATTATTAAAGGTCTTTCCCTGGGAAAATAAATTAATGGATGATCAGGCAATAATCATATCTGAATGAGAAAACAGAAGTTGTCCCAATGAAAAGGCTAGATGTGAAATTTAATATAAATAATACTCTGATGTATATATATGTGTATGTATGTATAGACATATATATAAATATACATACACACACCCTTAAAATATATGTGTGTATACATATATATACACATACACATACACACACACACACACACACACACACACATATATATATATTTTTTTTTAATACAGAGAAGAGACTGGAAAGATATAATCACCAAGTGATTGTTTCTGGGTACAAGAATTTAGTAACTGCTTCCCTGTTTCTTTATACTTTATATTTTTCCAAAATCTTCTAAATTAACACATTACCTTTATTATTAGAGGGGGCAGAAGGAAGGAAAGAAACTATTTCAAGGGATAACTCAGCTTTGTAACTGGGCATTTGCAAGATTGTGTCCTAGTTTCAGGGTGTGAAGGGCCTATGGGGGTGTCCAGAATGAACACGTCTCGGGTGCAAAGTCACAAGTTGTGATTCAAAGAGGAATCCACTGGCCTGCTGTTCCCTCAGCAGCAGCCCAGCAAAGCTTCTGTCTCTGGTTGAATCTTTCAGCCCACAGAAATCCTCCTGACAGGATACAACTGCTGATATCTGTTCCTTTCACAACCCAAGAGTCCTTTCTGAATTCTGTCCCTATCTATTCTTAGCAACAATGCAAATCATACATTTCTGAGGCAGCCCCATCATCCCTGAAGCAAGGAGTGGCAAAGAATAAGAGCTTAAGAATCAGGGCTATACAATGACCTAAATCCCAACCTGGATACTTACTTGTGGCCTTTTAGCCAAGCACCTTGTATATTAACTTTGGTTTCCTGATTTGTAAACAGGATGATGGCAGCATTATGTATGTTACAGGGTGCTGTGGGGTCAACCGAGTTAACATATGAGGAGTGCTCAGCAGAGTGCTGGGCCCCCAGTGAGCACTCAAAGGTTAGCTCTCACCAAAGCAAACTTCTCTATCCTTCAATTGTCTGATACATGGCCTAATACTAAGCCTGTATTGAGGAACCATGTGGTATACATTTTCATTTTCCACTCTCCCACTGCCACCTGGCCAGCTCTTTGGTGTTGACACTCATCTATCTGTTAAATAATCTGTAAGTACGACCTGCTGCTGCTGTTCTGAAACCCCCCGTAGTCAGCAAGGTACCTACCTTTGGAACCTGTAGTGTGGGATGTGGAAGTCACCTCTGTGCAACCCCCCAGGCCTCACGCCCCACGTACCTATCATCTTCTGGAGCAATGGCGAATTGCCTTTTCCAAAGAGCACACAGAGGTCCAGGATCTTTGGGATGTCAAAGAGAAAGTGTTCGTAGAGGAATTCTCCAAAAGCAGAGGGGGAAAAGAAGTGATCCTAAGGAACAGTGCAGAGAGAGAAACTGAGACTTTCTGAAAGCACATGTAAAGTATAGTGAACTCACAGGTAACAACCACCTTCAGGTCCATCAACAGGGGACTGCCTAATAAATGAAGGTCTGTCCACACTGTGGACATCCTGAGGCTCAAGTACTGACCTGCAGCAATGGCCACTCTTCACTTCAATGTAAAAAGAAGCAAAAGCAAACTATTTAACAGCCGGTTGGAGATTCATTTGAAAATATTTATGGGTTAATTACCATGATGTCTGGGATTACTTTGAAATATTCCAGGATAAAAAGAAAACTCATGAGAAAGGAGAAAACTGATCAGCAAAATGTTGATAATCATCAAAGCTGGGTGATGGGTAAATGGGGTTCATTATATTTTTGTGCATATTTGAAAATTTCCATACTGAAAGCTAAAAAGCAAGAAACTGATTTTGAAAATAAATACACACATATACTGAGAGGAAAAAAAATTCCTGAAATAACAAGCACCTTAACAGTGGTTATTTTGGAAGAAGGAGACCTTGTGGATGACCTTCACTATCTACAAAATATTTCTGTAATTTTTGAGTTGTATACAGATAGCACTACTATTTTTAAAATCCAGGGGGAAAAACACTAATGGATTTTAAAAAGCACATACAAGTTCCTTTAAAAATCAGAATCAATGTTCTCCTTCTGATGCATGACAAAAGGCACAGTCACGCGTCACCTGGCAAAGAGCCCTCGGCTCCCATTGATGAGAACACTGGGTGTAATACAGACGGGCCCGGTGAATTAGAGGATAAGGGAGGTGGCACAGATTTCTTCCCCAATGGTGGGAATAAAGGCAGGGGGAAGACAAAGAGGAAACTCAACACTTCCAGAGCCTTCCTTCCCAGGGGCCTGGGAGTCCAGCACAGAGGTACAGGGTGTCGGGTGTCAACCTATCACGGGACCAGGGACTTACTTTGGATTCCTTGTGAGTGGACATGCGGAGGAAGGTGAGAAAAACACTTCGATGGAGGCGCTTCTGCATATCAACAACCTCAGGGGCTGGAGCCACCCATTCATCAAACTTTCGGGGGACATAGCGCAGGTAAGAGTCCAGGCACTTCTGCACAGTCTCGTCAAAGATAACCTAAGCCAAGTGAGACAGGAGTGAGAGGATTTGTCACTGAGACCCAAGGGCTTGTGGATAGACTGTGCAGAGACTCTTGACCCATCAGCCCTGGCCTATAGCAAACACTCCAACCCCAAGGGACCAAGGAGGTATAAATGAGCTAAGGGCTAAACACAAGTTTCTAAAAAGGACACTTTGGAAGGCGTGGTGAAAATATCATTAAGATTGTGATACAAGACAGAATAATCCAAACCACAAATTGCTGTTAAGGATCCAGTGTAAGAAGTAGAGAAAAAAAGCACCTCCTAGGGGGAGAAAAACAACAACAACCAACCAATGGCATGTCATGTGCTTTGTCTTAGCATTAATTTTGATAGAATGTTACCTGGCACCAGAATTTATCGTGAGGCAAGGCCAGGAGCCAGTCGAGGTCATTGGCTACGAAGGTGGCGCGTTCCAGGTACTCCTCCACTAGGGCGGGAATGTTGTCTTTAGGGGGCGGTTTGTATAACACAAAATACCGGTCTGCCTTCTGCTCGGGGTGCTACGGATCCAAAAACCACGTGTTAACGTGGCAGAGGTTAGTCAGCGAGGGCCCATTTGCCAACCCACAGCAATGACAACACTTGGCTGTTCCAACTGGTGACCCTCCAAGGAGCTTTTAAGCATAAAGAACCAAGTGTATCTAACAAAGGGAGCTTGGTTGCTTCCAGGGAACACTAGGCAGGTGTTAAAAACCATGTTTTTTGGTGGGGAGTATTTAATGACATGGGGAAAGGTTAAGGGAAGAGAAAACAGGATACAAATCTCTATTTAATATAACCAGGTTTTGGATTCTTAAAAAAGCATAAATATTTAACACATTCATACAAAGGTTAGAAAAAAAGTGTAGGAGCCAAAATACCCCAAAGCTAATGGTAGCTATCTCTGGTTGGAGGGAACTAGGGCTTGAATATATTTTCCAATTTAAAAAAAAAGTGAATATTATTAATTTTCAAATTATTTTGTTAAATTATCTTTTAATTATACCAGTGAGACATATGCTTCTTATGACACTACAGCGAAGGTGAGTCACCTGGGATCATACTCCCCTTCTCTGTGCCATCCCAGAGATAACCACTCATTATCCGATGAATGTCCCACAGATCTTTTCTAGGCATTTATGTTAAAATGTACCTGTATAAGGTATTTGCCTGGATCTGTTTTCAATTTCCTTACATAAATAGTAGCAAACTGTATGTATCACTGTGTTGTACCCTTTCTGTAAATCAGAGAAAAACCTCAGTAATTTTTTTAAAGAAAAAATGCTAATCAAGTAATTGCAGGTCTCAGTTTAGAATCACAAGTTCTTTCTTCTAACCCTTACCTCCCCATGAACAAATCTTACTTTGTTCACCATAAAGAAAAGACGAAGAGCTCAGTTTTCCCTGTGTCTACAGAAGGGCTGCTTTCTCCAGGGGCAGTGGTAATAGGAGGAAGGCAAAGACTAACACCTCAGCTGTTATCAGTCACATCCACCCACTTCCAGGTCTGTTAGTCCAGGGGAAACAGGGAAGTCATGACTGACTGGCCAGTCTCCTTGAGAATCACCTATGCCTCCCTATGGCCTAATGCAAGTCTTCAAACTAAGCAGTCTTTGGGTCCCACAAGGATTCCTCAGGGGCTACCTCCCAGGTGGGTCTTTAGGACCCCTCCCATTTATATTAGGATTTATATAATGGGGTTCCAAGAATAAATCTCTTGAAAAAATAATCCTACTGGCTGCAACAAGGTCAAAATTACTCTCTGGGGCCTAAATTCATCACCTTGCAATAAGGGTCTTGGTATGTAAGACCCCCTCCCCACCACTCACCCACCCAATCTATTGGCACTTCATTTCTCAGAGCAGACTACTCGCTGTTCCCCTGCCCCCCAAAGACACACATACATATATCCCTGAGAGTCTAACTTCCTTGCAATCCTGCAAACATTTACTGGCACCCTGTGCCAGTTGTGATAGGCACATGAAGAGAAGCATCCAGGTGCTCACAGAGCCCGTGCTCCAGAGGGGAAGATGCAGATCTAAGCCATTAAATGAGCACAAAACAGGAAGTGACAACTCAAACCTGCTGAGGGATTATGGGAATCAAAGGGGATTAACCACATCTGGAGGACAAGGGAAAGTTTCCCAGAACAGGCAGCATGTGAATTGGACCTTGGAGGATGGGAAGGATTTTTAAATGGCAGAAACAGAATTTTTATGGAGGCATAAAAATGGGCCATAAAAAAGGGGGCACAGATTGCACTGGATGGTGGGAGATAGATTTGGAGGAAGAGAATGTTGGAATGATGATAATAAAGTCACTATTTTTGAGGATCTGACTTGTGCCAGCTACAGAGGAGGCAAGTCCCACAGTATTTTTTTCTTTTGTCTACAACTATTTAAAAAGGAGATAGTATTCTCCCCATTTTACAGAAGAGGAAACAAAGACGCAGTGAGGTTTAGTAATTTTGCCAAGGTCACAGGGCTAAGGACTGTAGACCTTACTAAAGCAAGCACCAGGCACTATAGATCTACCAAATGACCTACAGTGTCCACATACCATCCTGGTCTTGCCACTTGTCCTTCTGAACCTAGCTCTGACCTCACCTTCTCGAGGAAGTCTCCTCAACTCCCATCCCTGAACGGGTTAAGGGCTCACCTGGGCTTTCCCAGCTCCTGTGCTCTGTGCTTCCCAACTGTAACCCTGCTGTTGAACTGCATAGAAAGTGCCTTTTTTTTTTTTTTAAAGATTTATTTATTTATTTATCTATTTATCTATCTATTTATTTATTTATTTATTTATACAAGCACTGGGTACAGTCAGAAGTGTGGGAAGGTGAGAGAATCCACCAGAGCCAGAGCAGAGCAGGGAGCAGAACAGGCAGACTGACAAAGTACACTGCTGAGAGGAGCAGTGGGCGTGGCAGGAGAGGTCTGTGCGCCATGTGGGACCCTCGGGATCAAACCGGCGCTGCAGAGGCTGTGGGCAGCTTCGCAGCCCAGTGCTCAACCACTGTGCCACCAGGGAGGACTGAATGTGCTTTTAGATTAGTGGTTGCTATGGACAGGGAGAAAAACCTTCGTTGTTATTGGAAATGTTCATTATCTTGATTACGGTAATAGTTTCATGGGTATCAAAAACAGATATAAAATATAATCAAATTATGTTACTTTAAAAATGTGGAGTTTATTGTGCTTCAGTGATACTCCAATACAATTATATAAAAAGGGAGGCTCTGCCTTCTGTCTCACCACTAGACTGTGGGTCTCTGGAGACCATTTGATGCTCACACATTCCCAATCCACAGAGCACTGCCTGGTATCAAACAAACTCTCCATATACATTTGCTGGCTGGACAAAGGAATGAATGGAGGAAATGAATGACGAGATATTGTCAGAGTCTTTCAAGGTCTGTGAATGCCAAGTTCCAAAGTGGAGACTTTATTCTGTAGCTAATAGGATCATGAACATTTCTAGGCAGTGCAGGACCCCAACTGTATCTTCCACCCTTCATACCTGACTTAGGTCCCCTTTGCACCAGGAAGCTTCTGAATATTCTCTGCTTATTAAACATGTTTATCTTGAAAGAAAGCCACTTTGCACTGTTCTCCAAATGTTCCACTTATATGAGTCTTGTATTCCCCAAGAGTTCATTAACCCATTCTGGCCTTGTGAATTTTCAATGGCACCAAGTATATGCTGGGTGCACAGTAGCTACTCAAACAACATTGGCTTCACCTATCACCCTGAAAGGCAGCATGGTGGCTGTCCCTTGGTTAGACATGTTCTTGCCCCAAGTTGGGACTAAAGAGACAAATACAGAGTGGGTACACATCTCAGTACACTCTTTCAGGAGCTTCTGAAGCCTGCAGGGTAAGACCCTTTAGTCAAATAGCTGTCTCCCTCAGCTCACCCCTCTTCTCACACTATTCCCCAATGTTTCTGCTGTTGTCACTGTTGCCATCACCATCATTATTGAGCGCTTACTATGTTCTGCTATCTGTACAACCACTCCACAAAGCTGGTTCTATTAATACTCTTTGGGATGAGGCTTAGAGAAGTTGAGTAACCTGCCTAGTCACGTAGCCAAGTATGTATGAGATCAAACGCAAAACCCACGCTCCTTACCTCTGCAATATTGCTTCCACCCCAAGTGACTTGTGGTTGCTCGTGGAGTCAGGTCTCTCAGGACTTCAGGCATATCAGGTCCTCCTGCCAGGTCCACCCTTTTCCCATTATGCAACCTGGCTAGAGCTTATTCACCCGTAAATACCCAGTTCAAGATCCCGTCCCCTCCTGTCAGGACATTTCCTGACTGTATGTGCCTTCCAACCATCAGCCCACAGTCTAGAAATGCAGTATTCAGGGAAGGACTGAGGTGGAAAATCAGATTTGACTTCTTAAGGAGCCAGTCTCCTGCACTATCTAACATGATTGCAACTTCCTGCAATAATGGAGCTGCTTTTTATTGGAGCTGGCCAATGTAATAGGCGTTCACCACAAAGGGTTATTTTAACTTAAATGAACTAAAATTAATTAAAAACTCCAATTCCTCATTGTAGTACCCACATAACAAGAGCTCCATCACTCTATGAATATGGCTACCATATTAGGTGACTGCATGAGTGGACAGAACAGTTCTAGATTTTCTGATAAATACTCCCCATACCTAAAAAAAATTTTATTTAAGAGAGGCTTTATAGAAAAAAAGGTTAATATCCTAGTTTTGTGACCTTAAACTCTTTGTTTCCTCATCTGCAAAATGGGGACAACCAAAATACTATACACAGGGGCTGTGGTGTGGCTTAAATGAGATAATCCAGGTGAAGTTTTAAGAAGGTTTGCCCCAGAGCGAGTGCTCTATAAATGTCAAATACTATTTTCAGAGAGCAGTTAGGACGTAAAAGGAAGCCATCCAAAAAGCAGGAAATTAAACACCAAGGATGTTGTTTCCCACGACTTTACTCAAGCCCCCAGAAAATACTTCCTCTCACTTTGTTCTAGTAAGCTCATATTCTTGGGAAAATAGCAGTCGGTACGGGGACTCTAGTCCCCATGTCTGTCTCCTTCAGCAGCTTGGCACTTCTCCGTGGCTCTAATCTCTCTTCATAGCTGGTAATCAACATGCCCACAGCCTCCTTATTTTTCAGTCTCACAAGCCCTGCAGAGTCTGTATGTAGCCCGTTGAGATAAAAGACGGCCCGGCCTCTGAAATCAGTGTTCCCCCTAAAGTGTGGATAGCAGTTCAGATAGCTCTAAGAAAGGCCTGCCTGAAACTTGAATACCTCTCAAAGGGTCAAATCCCCAAACCCGGCTTTGGGCCAGATCCATTTCTAGGCCAGCTCAGGCTGAGTCAGAACTGCCTTCAGACTCTGATTCAAAATTAAATGCTTTGGGGGGAAGGTGTGGGATGGCAACGTGGAAAATACTACTCAAATTCAAGTTGCTACTTGGAAAGAACACTTCTACACTGGGTCTGGAAGACCTAGTAGTATCTCAGTTACTGAATTACTGACTATGGCCCTTGGGTCATTCTTGGAACAGATAAAAAAGGAATTTACTTTGGTTCTGAAATTGCAAGAATGATAGTATCAGGCTGAATGGCCTCAAGGCACCGGCTCACCAGCGCTGGTGAAGTCCTCAGCTTTCCTGTCTTCGGGTCCTTGTGGGTGATCTGGAGTTGATCCAGGGGCAGAGCTGGCATTGTGCTGCGTGACCCTCCTGAAAGGAATATGGATGGGAGAAGAGAGCAGACACATAGGCTCCTGGGGACAGGGGCCTGCTTTGGTGTTGATTCCAGGGCCAGGAGAGAAGCTTCAACCTCACGGGACTCCTGGTCTGTATCTCAGGGGTCTTGTTCCTGCACCTACTAATCCAGATTGAAGTGACCTTTTTGCCTGAAGAAGTTCTCAGTTGAGGAAGAAAACATTTCCAAGTGACTCTTAATGTATTTCTACCACCTTTGAGAAGTAATAGCTAAAAGAATTTAGACTGTCTAATTAAGCCTCCAGTTCTGTGCCCTCCTTGACCTGTGGGATCTGTGAAGATATAGCTTGAGTCTCCTTTCTCTTGCTACTTCTTCCATGAACAGCAAAGCCCTAGTGTAGAAGCAACTTCATCCATGTTTGATGAACAATTCTGCTTCTATCCCTAATCAGATTTTAAGTCTTTTAAGGGTTAATGTCCCAAGCCTTATCTCATTTATAGATGACACTAACATTTCACAGCTGTCTCTAGGCTTCAGGGAAGTACAAAGGTGAACAGAAGGATGAAGGAGGAAGACAGAATTCATAGAAAGTTGCCAGTGCAAAAAAAAAGAAAGTTGCTGGTGCAACCTCCTGTCTACAGATGCCCAAACCAGGCACAGAGTTAGTGACTGGCAAATCCCATGTCTCCTGCTACCCATCTAACACTCTTTCACAAAACCACTTGCCCAGAGCCACAGAAGGGAAAGTGTGCTGGCTGAATCATGGAAGAGAAGTGAATTAGGCCCCTTAAAAGACATGCCATTAAAAAGTTAGCACAGTGTCAATGATAATATGAAGATATATCAAGACCAGGATGAGGAAACCATAACCTCCTGAATCCTCACACATAAGCTGAAGGGCCGAATCAGCTATGAGTTGCATGGATTACACATGCATATGTGGGTGTCCAGCTATCAGGCCAGGTGCTGGTTATGAAGATAGGCAGGGTCTCTGCTTTGAGGGAGCTTATGATCCAATAATAATAAAAACAATAGCAGCAAGAGCAACATGTTCAACACATGCAGGCGCTTTTCTCAGCATTAATTCACTTTATACACATTAACTCACTTTACATGTATTAACACTCATAGTAATGCTAAGGTTAGTTCTATTATTGTCTTCATTTTATGAGGAAACAGAGACTCAGAGAAAATAAGAAATCTATCCAAGATAGGTTAGTAGTTAGTGCTTGGTGAAACAGGCAGGCTCTTAACCATTTGCAGGACTGAGTCTGGTATAATGGAGATAGGGAGTTGTGGGTAGTGTCAGGAAAGCATTTCTAGAGACCCTATAAGATTAGGAGAGCTTGAGTTGAGTCTTTTTTTTTAAAGATTTATTTATTTATTCATACAAGAACTGGGGTGTAGGGTAGAGGTGCGGGGGGTGAGAGGATTCTCCAGAGACAAAGTGGGGAACGGAACAGGCGGATCTACTAAAACACACTGCTGAGGGGTGCAGCGGGTGAGACAGGAGAGGTCTGCTGCACCATGTGGCCAAGCTCCCTGGCTGGGGTTTGAACTCAGGTGGCAGTGGCTGGCAATAGCTTGATATTGTTGAGACTTTAACCCTTGCGCCACCAGGGAGGCCCCCTAAGTTGAGTCTTGATAATGGAGATTGGCCAGGGAAAGGGGTACCTCAGGCAAAGGAAATAGCAGGAGCAAAGTAAGGAGGTAGGAAGAAGCTTGGTACATAGGAGCCCTGGTTCATGGTCTACTTTAAAGACTATCAAGATTCATATCTTAGAGGAATGTAAAGAGAAGAGGGCCAGTCTGTCTCGCTTTCCAGGCCCATTCCTGCTCTAGGATCTCAGTGGATTAGACACATGGTCCCTGCACACATGAGGTAGCCTGGAAACAATCACAAAGCAAAATAAGGACAGGAGATTTATCTATGCTTTGTAAAGCATAGATAATATTCTCTGTTGCATTACTGTATTTTTCTAACCAAGTTACTATGTTACTGGCTTCTCACAATAATCCAGTTAAGGATGACAAGGATTATTATGCTCAAATGTCCAAAGAGGGATTCTGATTTGCTCAAGGCAAAAGCATTAGTGGCCAGGTTGAAACTGAAGCCCAGCAACTCTGTCTTAGCACCTAGGAGCTTGTGCCTGAACATGCTAAAAATACTTCTTTCCTAACCTCTTAGATTCTGGGAGGGCAGCTGGATACATAGTAGCCGCACACTTGTGCCTAAGTTTAAATGACTCATAGGCCCAATTCTTTCCATTCTCACCTTCCAAAGACAGTACAGGGAGTGTCAAGTGTGGGGACGTAGGATGGGGAAAGAATCAGAAGGAGGTGGCGTATCTCCACCCTTTAAATTCTAGGCCCCATAGTCCAGGCCTAGACAGGTAGAGACAGCATCTGCTTTCAGAAGAAATCCACTCTGCAAGCCAGTGCCTGCAAGGGCAAATCAGACCCAGGCTAGGTGGAGGTTGAAAGAGAGCTCTACAGTTCTGCAGCCAGCATTCAAATCCCAGCTTTGCTTTTTCTTATCCATGTTGAGACCTTGAGACAGTTTCTTAACCTCTTTAAGCCTTGATTTCCTCATCCATAAAACTGGAATGATAATACAGAATCTCTCAGGGCTGCTGTGAGAAGTAATCAATGTTCAGTGTTCAACATAATACTTGGCACATAATGAACACTCATTAAAGTTTATTTGTTATTATTATTCAAGTCCCACTCATAGGCAGAGCAATTTGGGCCTTCTCACTCAGCAAACACTAGCTGAATATATTCTGGCTCCTGGGTATGTAAATGACTATCATTTGGTTTGGTTAGAACTACAATAGGAAATTCCCAAAATTGGAGCATAGCACATTAAGAGAGAACATCACTGAAAAGGTGACCTACAACCTGGTATTGAAAAAAAGGTGAGGAGGAAGGGCATTCTAGGAAGAAAGCAAGCATGAGCAAAGACTCAGAGTCTGTGGCTTTGAATGAAGAGGGGGGTATTTGGCATCACTGAAAACACAAAATGAGGGAGGGGATGACAGAAGCAAGGACAGACGAGGTTGGATAGGAAAGACAGGATTACTTTAAAGAGCACCTTAAAATGCTATACTTAGTTTTGGTCTTTCATCTGAAGGCAGTGAGGAATCATTTAAGTTAAGGAGAGAAATGACTAGAAAAAGAAGACAATAACCTGGTGGCAGGAAAGGCCACCTATGAACCACTGGAAAGCAAAGACCATGTTAATCATTTCAGTCCTCCATTCAAAGACTTTGAAGCATCTTTTCTGGGCCAGGCACTGAAGTCCAGAAAATAACTAAGGAGGTAAATGTCAGACTTGGTCCTGCCCTTCGTAGAGTTTACAGTCTTTATGGGAAAGACAAATAACCATACAAACAAGTAAAAATACTGTGATGTACACTCTGTGAGCAAAGCCCATGGGGCTATGACAGCATTTAAACACTGAAGAGAAAACGGACTTGAGGGAAGGAGGATGTCAAGGAAGATTTGTGTTTTCACATAAAGTACAGATAGAAATTAAACAAGCAAAGACTAGCCTCTATATACCAAAAGAATAACAGTGATCATGATAATATCCGCACCTACCACTGCATCCCTAGGTCCAAGTAGGACAGCAGAAGTCAAAAGTAAGAAAAGAGCTTTCTTTAGAAGGGAAGACAGGTGCAAGCACCAACTACAATGAAACCTGCCAGCATCCCTATGATTTTTGCTGCCTCAGTTTCTCTCTCAATCACTATTCTGGTCTCAACTCAGTATTACTCTCCTCAGAGACCTCCCCCGACTGACCGTTCTAAAGTACTGATCCTTCCAGTCATTACTATATCTTTAATTATCTTGTGCATGTACTTGTCATGGTTGTCTCCATCTGACTGTAAACTCCATGAGGGCGGATGCCTCTTTGGCCTAGTTCTGTGCCTGGCATGCAGCAGGCATTAGATTTGTTGAACGAATGAATGAACCCTGAGGAAACTGAAGCCCGGGATGAAGGGACAGCGCGTCGTCCAAGGTCACTCAGGGGTCGAGGCTCGAACCCAAGGCTCGTGGCTCGGACATGATGGCACTGGGGGGACTCCAAGCCCCTAAGGCAGCGTAAGCCTCGGCCCCGCGGTGGAGGCGGGGAGGCCGGAGGCCGCCCGAGGCACGAGCCCCGGATCCTCCCAAGCCCGTGCTCCGCATCCGGCAGGCACAGCCACGCACTCACCTTGGCGGCTTCACTACCGGCGCAGAGCCGCCGCCGCCGTCCACGGTGACAGCTCCCAGGGCGCCGACACTTCCGGGGTCAAACGGTGATTCCGCAGGCGCAGACAGGAAGCCTCGGCCCGGCCCCGCCCCCCCGGCGCCAACTGTCGCTGGGAGGCGGGGTCAGGGCCGGCGCGCCGTCTCAAGGCCCCGCCCACGAGGCTGGGCCACGCCCCCTGGGCCTTCCTCCCTTGCTCTCTGCTTGGGGGAGAAGGTGGAAAGTGGACCTCGGGCAGGCCCACGTCCACCTCGGAAAATCCCGAGTGGGACACCACGCGTCTCAGAATCTCAGGCTGCCATTTCCTTTCTAACCTCCTTAATCTTTTTACATATTTAATTCATAAGAATAATTTCAACAAGCTGTTAGGGGGAAAGGATGTCCTGAGTTAATCCCATACAGGCTTTGTGGACTCCACCCCCCACTCCAGACTAAAGCCATCAAGACATTGGGAAAGACAAATCCCGTCACCACCAAAGGGAGGGTGGCTGGGACCTGAGGGTGGAGTTGGGCAGCCAGGTTGGATATAAAAAACCAAACACGTGGGCCTTGGGGGGCTCGCTGTCCCTCGCCTCCTGGCTTCATGGCTCCTGGCTTGAGGCAGCTCTCAGAGCACCATTTGGGATTCCTGATCGGCGGATCGGGTAGGACTTATTTAAAACTTTGTCTCCCACTTTTCTCTCTGAGCTGTACATTTCCTCATTTCCCCTTCCCTTGTAAATAAACCTTTTATTAACCTTTTGCGTGTGCCTGCAGTAGAGCATTGATAAGTCCTTTTAAGCGCACGGGTGAGGACCCACAGTCAGGCATCCTGTTTTGTATCAGGGTTGCTCTACAACGAAGCCAAAAGCATAAACATGATGTTAAGTAAAAGAAAGCGGAGGAAGGAGTATAGACTGCAAGTTTATTTATAGGAAATTTCAGAAAGGGCAAAATTAATGATATGGATTGGGACGGAGTTTACCTCTGAGGCTGGTAAGTGGGAGAGGCTGCAAGGGAAGGTGAAGGACATTTCGTGGGGTAACTAAATAGATGTCTTCACTTTGGCAAAGTCATGGTATCATATACCTGTGAGTTGTGTGCATTTTTCTGTATGCATGCAATACATTTTTTAAAAATTGAATTGTATTTTTTTAAATTAAATTGTATTATTTTTTAATTGAGGTCACACTGGGCTACAACATAACCAACTCTGGTTTCCTTCAGAGGGAACAATCCAAGAGGTCAAAGAGAAGCTGCAAAGCCTTTATGACCTAGCCTTAGAATCACACACCATCACTTCAGCTATATTTCTATGGCTCACATAGAGCCAGCCTTGATTCAATGCAGAAGGAGACTATACAATCTCATGAATATGGGAAGACAGATCATTGAGAGCTATCTTGGGAGCGGATTATCACATCAATCTAAACTGAGGCTGCTTAACTGGCACATTCCAAACCCTCAGCCACAGTATTTGACTCATGAATAGATACATAATTCTTCAAACCTATCCAATGATATTGAATTCTGGGATCTTTATTGGAGTAGAAACAAAAAACTCTCTGACGAGCTCGTTAATGCAAAGAATGAACTAAAGCCTAGAAATGCCAGAAGTTAGTACCTAGAACATTATTTGATCCCTGGAGCTAGGTCCACCTGAATCCAGATACCTCTAGAATTTTCTTATTTATGTTTTTGCCTAAAATGTTTTGAGTTGGACTCTGTCCTTACACAACTTCTAGATGCTGAGTCCTTCTCATAGCCATTTGAAAAATGTCTCAAAAATTAAAACTGGGACAAGAGGGATGAGATTGCTAATTGTTCAAGTTTATTAACAGAAGGAATTGCCAGTGTTGCAAGTCATTACATAGTGATGAGGAGAGGTTACTTACCTGTCCACTAATCAGAAAGAAGTGGGAAATGAATTGGTGGTAGAATCTGAAGACCTAGCTCACTAGGAAACTTGGACAAATTGCTTTGCTTTTTGAGTCTCCGTTTCCTTGTTTGCATAATGGAAATAGTAATACTTAGTTCAGCCTACTATTTCCACTCAGTAAATATTTATTTAAGGCCTATTATATACCAGGTACTGTCAATAAAGCAACAACACGCTCAAATCTAATCTCAGTTTTTCACAGTCTTGTCAGAAATATGAAAAAAACATGAATTACAATGTGATTTGAGATATGGTATAATAGATTTACACCTGGGTGTTTTGAGGTGTCATAAGAAGAAATCATCCCAGAGTGTGGGATCTACATGAACAATGCAAATCTGGACTCTGGACAGGATGCTATTTAATCTGAATTGTCAGGAAATGTAGAACGGGCAGGTTGGAAGAACATAACAGGAAAGGATCATAGTCTGGCCAAAGACTGAAAGACGTAAAAGAGAGTGAACTATGAAATTGCAAGTAGACATGTATAGCTTGAATCTTGGGGTCAGAGGGTATCTTAAAGAGAGGTGAGATTATGAAGGACTTTGTGGGCCATGAAAAGGAATTTGAATGGAGGGGCCTGGAAAATTTGATTAGAACTAAGGAATTTCAGAAAGTTATTTTAGAATGACAATTCTAGTAACCATATGAGTGGAGAAGATAAATGGTGGCAAGAATGGAGGTAGACCAGCTTTGCAGGTATCTGTTGATGTATAACAAATGATCTCTCAAATTGATAGCTCAAAAAGATATATTATTTCTCAGGTTTCTGTGAATAGACTAGGTTTGATTCTTCTGTTCCATGTGGTGTCTGCTAGGGTTATCAAATGGGTATTCATTTGAGCCTGTGATATCCAAGAAAGCTTCACTCATGTGTCTGACTTCTTAGCAGCATGGCTAGAGCAACTGGTTTCTGGGTAGGCCTCTCTCATCTCATAGTCTCTTATTCTTCAGTAATCTAGTCTGGTGTTTCACAGGTTGGGGCCATTTTTCTCTCTCAGGTTGCACATGGTAATATCTGGAGACATTTTTGGTTGTCACAACTGAAACATTTAGTGGGTAGAGGCCAGTGATATTGCAAAACATTCTACAGTGCACCAGACAGCCTACTTGCACAAAGAATTATTTGTCCCCAAATGTCAATAGTACTGAAGTTGAGAAACCATGGTCTTAACCTGAACATCTTTACATTGTAACTGGGCCCTAAGAAGGTAAAAGTGGAAGTTGCCAGATCTTTTAGGCCTAAGCTCTGAAACTCATACATCACTTCCTCTACACGATTGGTTAAATCAATTTTCAAAGTCAGTTTTGATTCAAGAGAAGAAGAATTAACCATTGTTCTCCATCATCGGAGATCTTAATCTAGTTTCTATCTATCTATATTTTTATGGCCATTTTTATGGCAATCTACCACAACCAGGGAGACAATACAATTAGGGAGATTCAAATGAGAGACAATAGTGGTTTGAGCTCAGGCAATGACAAAGTATCATCATGAGAAATAATGGCAATGAAATAATGGCAATGAAATCTCTTTGCAAAGTGTTATATAAGTACATGAATTTCATAATCCATGCTGTCCCTAGCCAGGAACTGCTGGCCCCAGCAACTTTCTGTTAAGCCAGGCTTTGTCTCAACCATCCTCTGCTCCATATCTGTCTCAATCCCTCTGCCCTCTGTTGAGTTCATCAAAGCTTCTGCTGACACAGAAGAATGTAGAGAATGATCATTGCAGTAAAAGTCTCAAATCATCCCCGAGAACTCCTAAATAACAAAACATCTGCTTGTCATTCTCCCCTGCCCCTCTGGGTTTGAAGGAGAAAACAGCATTAAATGATGATGATAAACAACTTAAAAACTAAACCTCCCAGCTTCTAAGAAGGAAGGCTTAATTTGAAGGCAGCTAATTATCCATTTGTCATAATTTACAAATAATGGTTGTCTTGCCTTCTGTCATTGGTCTGTAAGCAATAGTTGAAAAGATGGGGAAATTTTTTGGTGTTAACACCTTTTAGAAAGCAAAGGCAGAGAATCCAAATCAAAGATAGAATCTTATCAAACATGTGGTCGATACGTCTCACTTTAGGGGCTCCCTGGTGGCACAAGGGGTTAAGTCTCAGCACTATGAAGATATCTGAAGCTACTGCAGCATGAGTTCCATCCCTGGTCAGGGAGGTGACCCACATGGCACAACAGTCCTCTCCTGTCTCACCCACTGCTCCCCTCAGCAGTGTATTTCAGTAGATCTGCCTATTCTGCTCCCCCCTCTGTCTCTGGTGAATCTTCTCACCGACCCCCCTCCCCCCGCCTGTACCTCTAGCCTGTACCCCAGTTCTGGTATGCATAAATAAATAAATCTTAAAAAAAATAAACCTCCTATTTTATAGATGAGGAAACAGGCCCAATGAGGAGATGGGACTCGCCCAGAGCTGCCCAGAGGCCAGGGGTTGCAAAATGGGAACTGGAACCAAAGTCTCCATGCTGGCTGTAGTCCAAGGTCCCACCCAGGGGAGATGGAAGGGTAGCTCTGTCTGCCCCAACGGTCCAGAGATTCTGTGCTCAGACCACCCATCAAAGTGGCAATTGGCACTTCCAGGGCTGTCATTAATAATTATCAGTGTGGGATAATAAAGCTACAGAACAGGAGGTAGAAATAGTTCTTCAAGGACTGGGACCTGATTTAAATTGCAGAGGGGTAGGGAGATCTTAGCTTCACTTCAAGATTAAACAATTTTTATTTGGTAACATCTTGTACTTTTCATGCAGCTTCTGAGAGGAAGGGCTTTCAAAGGATACCTCCAGCTATTCTGGTGATGGGAACAGTTAGTAGTTGATGTTTTTATCCATTAAACGTGGGATTTCAATGCAATGGAATACAGCCAGTTCTTTAGTTTTCTTTGGGAGAGCATGAAAAAAGGTTATTGGAAGT